CTAATTAAAGCACCTCTACTATATAAAAAAGCTACATTCTAATTCTTGTAGAAAGATATACACCAAGTACATATCTTCTGTCCCCCGTATATCTCGGGGAGCATCGTCAGAGCCACCGTACTGTGCGCCGCACCGTACGCTGATTGGCGATTACCACCGGCCGTGACGTCACCCGCATCGTGCAAACAGCAGACTGTCGGGCGGGGCGTGATTGGTCGATACGCGTCGTCATCCGAACAATGAGGGAAACAATTGCGTAGCGTGCGTCGCCTATGTTATTGTTTTGTTTATGGATGAATTGCATCACTAGCTGTTGATTAACTAGCTGTCTGTGTCTGGTCGCATCTAGACTGCACAGGCTTTTCTAACGGCCTAGTTTTGAATAACAGCGAAAGTGATAATTTTGTCTGGTACAAGAGACAAACTCTATATCTGAAGTATTTATTTTGCTAGTATACGGTTTATATCAAATGACAGCTCTGAATGAACTTCACGACAAGCTTCTTCAATTTTAACCGATCAAGATTTAACGTTATACACATCTTTACGTTTACACTATCATGACAGAACAAAGATGGAAAAAAGCGATTCATACTGCAATCCGTAGAGAAACCGTTTAATATTATCATGCGTCTTCTATCCGGATCTTTTGATCATGCATCTATGTTCCTACAGTTATGTATATGCTGTCTGCTAAGAGGCATATGACTGTCATCATTTTGCCAAATGTCTCAAAAGTCTGATAGAATTATATTTTGTTAAATGCCAATTTTTGTATGTGTCAATGACCAATATGCAACTGATAGCAGTTATCTCTTGGGCCCTAAATCGTCGTTGTCAGTCATGCATACGAACAAAGGGTGTTTCATGACTGGTAAGCCGATCGGGAGCGTAGCTGAGTGACCGCATAGCTTAAGCAAGAAGGAGCCCTACTAAAAAGCTGATGGGTTTTGATTTTCAATAGTATCTAGAGGCAAGTTTGAAGTTTCTTGTCATTGTAATTTTTATTTTTTGTTATGAAGCATTGAAAGTTCTCGCGAGGAGTCTTAAGATTTCTGAGATACAGATCGTTTCGCGGTTTTGGAGGATCATAGTAAACTATAGGAATCACTTTCATACATTCATCTTCCTCAAGCATACAAATGCAATCGGCCTGTATGTACGGACGTTTGTTTATGTGAGGTCACATACGATGTTGTCTCGTCGGCTTGAAATTTTTTCATCTACATACATACTACATTATACCTGTCACTATGAGTGTGTCAACCCACTCTTCACAGGCATGCCATTTGAGTATCTTTTCTTGATCTTCGATATAAAACTATCAATATCTGAAGATGCAATTACATCAACAGTTTGTGTAGAACTTTGCGAGTGGATGTTTTTTCTTTTTCCAATTTATTCGCATATATATTCACAAATTGTACAAACACTCTGAACAAATTATTATAAAGGGTTGTCCAATAGGGACGCAGGAAAGTAAACGTCAATTTGACATAGACGCCATCTTTGTTTTCTGTCACCGACATGTCATTTTGTTAGTTGAATGTTTACCATTGATCGCTATGGAGTCGTATTCGATTGAAGACCGCATTAAAGTTATTCAAGAGGACTACAAAAATGGTGCAAAAATAAAAAACACGTTTCGCGCGCTTCGTGAACATTTCGGTCGCAACAACCGACCAAACGAAACAACCATCGGTCGTCTGGTGCGTAAATTCAAGGCAACAGGTTCTGTGGCAAATCTGCCGGGCTCTGGCCGGCCAAGGAGCGTTCGCACACCGGAAAATATTGCTGTTGTGAAGGAGAGTGTGAGAGACGATCCGAAACAATCAACAACGCGTCGATCCCAAGAATTGGGCATTTCGAGAACCAGTTTGCTCCGCATTCTCCACAAGGATTTGAATGTACATGCCTACAAGATAAAATTGACGCAAGAGCTGCGTCGGGCCGACCATTTTTCGCGCCGAACGTTCTCAGATTGGCTCCTTGAACACCGCCAAATTGATGCCAATTTTTCATCAAAAATCATGTTCAGGGACGAAGCGCATTTCACTTTGAATGGGACGGTAAATAAGCAAAACTGCCGCATCTGGGCGAACGAAAATCCCCGCGAGTATCAAGAGCAGCCGATGCATCCTCGAAAAGTGACTGTGTGGTCAAAAGGCATCATCGGACCTTACTTTTTCGAAAATGCGGCCGGGGACGCCGTTACCGTCAATTCTGAACGATATCACGTGATGATAGAGAACTATTTTTTGCCGCAACTTGAAGGAATGGATATGGACGATGTTTATTTCCAACAAGACGGTGCAACATGCCATACAACGAACGTCAATATCCATCGATTGCAGTCCTTCTTCGGTGATCGCGTGATTTCGCGCAGAGGAAATGTGCCATTGCCACCAAGATCGGGCGATTTGACTCCCTTGGACTTCTTTCTATGGGGATATTTGAAAAGCAAAGTCTACGTCAACAAACCAGCCACACTCCAAGAACTCAAAAACAACATCATTGCCGAGATAAATGCCATGTTGCAAAATGTCATTGAAAATTTCGACCATCGCGTGGACGTCTGTAAATCCAGTCGTGGTGAACATTCGAGCGATATTATTTTTCATACATAAATGGTATAAATGAACCTTCAAAATAAAGTACCCAACTTGATTTGAATATCAATCTTTCTCGTTTTAATATGCGTTTACTTCCCCGAGTCCGTTTTGGACAACCCCATATATAACCCAACTTATGTGTGTGAGCATGCAAGAGCGAGCACCAGCTGCGTCAAGGATGGGCTTGCGCAGTATGTTCCCTCGTATTCTTATTTTGCATGCGTCTGGCCAGTTACTGACCTGACTTAATATTTAGTTTGACTGTTTCATTTCTATAACGCTTGCTGCGAGTGTATAGATTATTTTAAACCATCGTTATTCTTTTAAATAATTCGCGTCAGTACTGCTTTCAAGCTCTTTTTAATTTTGCTCTCTTCTATAGTAGTGGTGGCAGATATTTCACAATCTCATCGATATTCGGAAATCGTGATAACACTGATAACAGAAAGTCTGTATTCTATTCATTCCACGGTTTTTAGCGGTTACTCACAATGCGATACGAAATAACAGCGCAGTTGTTACTTGCTCTTGCACACAAACATAAATTGTGTAACAAAGACCGTCGCTTTCATTCGCGTTCCGAAAACACTCCAATAAATTCTGTCGACATTGCAGTAGCATATTCAGGCAATGCTATGTCCAAAGCATGAAAACTGAAGATGCGAGGTTCATTCATTCATCATTTATTGGTCTCTGCGGTTTTCGCACAATCAACCACGTTAATTGAACTGTCCTGTCCCCGGCAGGCTGGATTGAAGCCACACTCAAATCAGGCGGACAATCCAGATGACCATCAGACGATCACCAAGGCTCGGGATGTTGTTTCTGAGGGCGGAATTCGAACCCGCGGCCCATCTGGCTCGCCACTGACACACCGGGCTACCCATGTCCCCTGATAGAAGGTTAAACTCATTGAGTAGAGTTTGACGCTAAAAACGCCAACGATGAAATGAGTTAGTACACTGCGCAGGAAATAAATTTCAGGTGCTGCGCATAAGACATCTCTCTCGTGTACACTGCGCATAAAATGAATTACAGATTCTGCGCTTGTGGAATCTCTTTCTGTCGCTATCATCATGGCTGTAAACCACTCTAATTTTGACAATTCGGGCGTATTCCAAGCAGAAATATTGGATATTAATAAACCACGAAGTAAAAAACCTCACGTTTTCGCGCTATACGTGATAATATGTCGTTATTTGCAGTAGTTTTTCGCGTCGACATTGAAAAATTGTAAGCACATTAAGATTGCAGCAGGTTATGTCGACATTTTTCAATGCGCAGACGCTCTACGCAATGTTCTACCCCCACCAGATTCAGATAGCCACACCATCCTTGGCGCAGGATTGGCTAATACGTGCACCGCTTATGTAGTTCACCCTCCTATCTCTAGTCTTCGCGGTTCATGATCAACAAAAGGTAAACTCGGATCGCAAATTATCATAATGACAGTTACTACGGTAAATGTGGAAGAGTCATACGTTGACGAAAAATTCGTCGAGGTGGTGAGACAAAACTAGTATATCTGTGAGCTTACACGAACAGATTGCATATGTATGCATGGAGATGCATGTATAGTGATGCGACCCGCTAAAATCCGTGAAAGGAACCATATATACCTAACTCTATCCTATACAGTCTCCTGAATCGCACAACAGGTCTAAATATTGTCTTTATTTGGGTTCTACAGAACTGCCCCATAACTTCATCTCTATAATTTTGTTCCTTAACTTATAATCATCTATCCCTATTTTTTTCTGTTACTCTCTTATATATTACCGAACTCTCTAGCCTATGTTCTCAATAAGGCTTAATATTGCCTCTAGGTTGTACAAGGTTCAATATGAAAGTAATGCGCATGTTGTTATTATGACGCGATTGATCGATCGGTAAATGTACGAAGGGATTAACGTAGCCGGTCGTCATTTGTGAGCGGAAAGACGTGCCTCCACGTGAATTGCGTTTTCAATTTTAACAAGCTATCTTGAACAGCGATACTCCACAAAATTTTGCATGGCGCCTGGAAAGAATGCAACTGAAACGTTCCAGATGCTTCAAGAACTGTTGCATTTCAAGAGTCCGGGAGGTGACACAATGCGTTCAATGAAGACCCGGGAAGTTATCAACGAACCCCATACTTGACAACAACTGTGAGCGAGAAGTTCCGAGTTCCTACATGGGACTAGTATCTCCAAATGCTTTCTAGTTGCACCACGCCGTCTCGTGGGCACTTACCACGGTACCACCATATACGATTATTTGGATGACTGCATCCGTAACTCGAGAGAAAGCATTTTTCCTTTCGCATTAACAATCCGGTTTGTTTCACTTGAACGCCACCAGATGAGGCCTCGAGAAAATTGAAAGAACAAAGGAACAGTGGCGTGGGTACTATTGAATTTGCCGATTCTGCAAGTTGGTTGTAGACGAATTGGTTAGATCGCCTCCACGTAATGAAGATTCCCATTTCTCTCAAGTTGTTTACTATCCAACAGCATGCTACAACGTCCCTGAGAGGCATTCCCATCGAGAAATTACAAGGCGCCTCTTAGGCGTGGCAATCTCGTCTCCGCAAGCGTAGGTATTTTAAAAAATTTTAAGCATTTGAAAATCTGTTTTCCAAAAAAAATCGCAATACTTTCATAATGAACCCTGTATATCCAAATATCTGTTCCCTATCCCTATTTTCTAAAGTTTCGCCTATTACGGACCGCTTTGGTCTTCGGTGCTTTGTTTAAATGTCGCATCGTTTCTTATACGCTTTATATACTAAGGAGAGGATCCACTATTCCCATATACCTCACTGTATCTTGTTGAAATGCTTTTTATTTCTCAAAATCCATGGAAATATACAGTCAGTCAGATACTAAAATAATTACAGTGTATTTGTTCAACTTACCATACGGTGTGACATATCGCAACGTTCTTTTTATAAACAAAAAGTGTGAGAATATAATGAAAAGTCCCACTCGCGATCACCGTTGCACTTTGCGATATTCACACACTGTAGATGCCGCTGGATGTAGACTCGATCGTTTCTTCATCGATGCGCGCACAAACACTTCCAATATATAGTAAGCTAGACTGTGCCTTTACAGAATTAAGTGGGAGAGGAGTATAAATGTTATTTATCTAAAATGTGGTCGAAAAATACTGGTTTTTACCGCTCTCGGGTGGTGATGGACAAACATATTTATACGAAAACATGCAAAAATCTTTCGATAGTGCTTATCAAAAATGCATGGAAGCCCGTAGGAATGTGAAAAATTTTTTGAACAGGGGAATTGGCAGTGAAATCCTTAGAGTCCCCAAATTGTACACAAAATCAATTTCAAGGTCCAAATTTTCAGGAGGGTGTCGTCTCCCCCTGGCACTTAAACACTGAATTTTTGCATGGACAGGTTCTTCTTGAAACATCTAAAATTCATTCAATTTTTCATAAGCACTATCATTTACATTCCTTGAAATGAGTTGTCACATTTTGAGGTAGTAATACGATGCGTTACCGCAACCTAAAATGTCCCATTACCGAGACATAGAGTATTTAAAATTTCTACATCACTGGTATTTTTATTTGTTTTTTTTTTAACGTAGGGGCAAGCATGAAGTGTTGTTTTACCTAATATTGAAGATCAAATCAGATATGCTGATTCCTCAGATACTGAGTAAATCAGCATAGCAGGCGTTATGTTGGCAATTTATTCCTGGATGTTGGTCTTCAAATCTTGGATGGTTCACAAAAACACGGGTTTCAAAAAAAACCTATAGAAAAAAATCACAAAGGGCCAAATCGGGAGAGCGGGTCGGTCACTTCTAATCGCCCTTAATTGATGAGAGGCGCGACGCTCCTGCAGTGTGTGCTGTGATGCACCGTCTTGATTGAACCAAAACCAGGGACCAATAATTCCAGCTGGAGAAACTACACACCACCACATTGTGATTTTAGGTAAATGCAAAGGCCTCATTTTGAAAAAGGAAGTTATGCTGCCGCAACATTTGCGATACATTTATCCACTCCTAAGATATAATTTTTTAAGATTTTGATATCATGTAAGATAAAAACACCTTTCAAAACGTCTTTTAAAAATGTCCCACATTTTCATGACAGATCACTGAATGAATAAAAGGCTGAAGTTCAGAAACTTAGTATCATTTATTCTCACTTGCTGAACTGCGAAAAATTGGAAAGACTACATATTCCAGTTAGTCCAACATCTTCCCAACAATAGAGCACAAATTTCTATTATATATCCCGTAAAACAGAGGAATTTTCAAGGTTTCGTAGTAATAATAAATATTAAAATTTTTCACACAAACCATCTTTTCTGGTGTCATTACCATCTAAATTCATAGAAAGTATACTTCCACATTCTTTCATGACGTACATCTGTCTACCACGTCACATTTCCGGTTTCATTCACTGTGACCACGGTGTTAAGAAAGAATTTACTGTTTCCCTAAAATGTAGTGTCAGTTTTTTAATAACTTAGTATGTTCTACAATTTATAATTTGTTCGGGTTTATGTCTTCGTCGTTAACAACAAACCCAATGTGTCCGGTCTTTTGGTTTTATAATTGTAACAAGTGTTCTCATCCACGTTTTCGTTTTAAAACACCATTTAGCTGCAAACTCATCGACGAGTAAGTAATTTGAAAATTTAAATCTGTTCTACATAGGTTGCTATTTTCATAATTGTTTTAGCTCCTGAAGATGAAAACATAGTTTGTCGAAAGCTCGAGATTACAGTCACACAAGCTTTGCTGCTCGCATAAAATTATTTCTCTACAGTTCCGTTGCACATTATCTGTCAAAACCATCGTTCCTCAATCTTTTTGAGCCTATGTCCTGAGCGCTGTCTTTCTCGTTCCGATATCAAAGCTCCGTAAAAAAATAAAAAGTCAACCAATACCGCCTGCTTCCATCACCACCTTCCATCTACGACCATACATATTTTTCGACCAAAACATAATAAACTTGTGTATACCATCTAGAATACTGAGCAGTAATAATGAAAAGACTCGTAACCATTTTCCCTGTACGACCGTTCCCTTTTGGTGGTACCAAACAGCGCCCAGCATCAGCAGCGGCCCCGGCGGCAGTACCATGCACGACAGCTCTGCGTCCTTTCCTGGGAAAGTCAGGGGTGCGACGTTGCCAGTCTGAATACCACCTGAAAAAACAAAAAGCGCCCGTGAATAAGATAAGGAACTGGGACACTTACGTTTAGGCTTCGGTGGTATCAACTTGACTCCTCCCGGTCGTTCCGGCAGGTCCACCTTGTCCATCTTCAGTTTCTTCTCGGGCGGTATCGCCGGTTCTTTGTGCTCCCGGGGAGGCGACGGTCGCTTCATGGGGATCGTTGGTAACTGGACACTGGGGGTTGGTTTCTTTACCGGCCGCGGGGGAGCCGGTTTAACCTGGAATAAAAAATGATAATTTAAAATTAAAACTGGCAATCCCAGACGCTTATCTGGTAGCACCGACTACGAAAAAGTGCAGATATATCTATTGACATTCGGATTTTGTAGAATCATTTACAAATTTGGGGATATACGCAGATGGTAAATTGAAATTTGAATGGCACTGGGAATATATTATTTTAAAAACAAAAAGATAAATTATCTTTATAGAAATTCGCATAGCCTAAGTGTTTATTCTAAAAACATTGTGTACAACACTATCATTCTTCCTTATTTGTTATATATCGTTAACTACAAATGAAACCGTATTTTCGAAATTACAAATATTACAAAATAAATCTATCAGAATCAGCTTAAATAAAAATGAATATACTAGAATAAATTTTGTGCTGACGAAACTACAATGGTTAAATGAAAAAAATGTAATAAACAACTTGGATCTCATTTTCACATTCAAGTTAAAAAATCATTTAGAAAATTATATTGAATTGAACCATGAGTACCATAATTAAGCTACTATTAAGATGTATGTCAGTTTGAAAAGGTTCAAAGGAAAATTGAAATAATATTTCACGGAAAACCAGAATTCGTAGTAGTGAACTTTTGTATAAAAATGAGATTTGAAGACATAAAATATTATATGATATTATAATCTGTAACATTAATATTGAAGCTTTAATGCTAAATAAATCTACAACAATCTCCACGGTAATTAGCCATGTTGTATACCCCTTAATGGAGGCTAGTAAATTCAATACCTATTAACAAGTTAAAATGTTCAAAACTATTCATATGCACTTAGTAATATCTCGTCCATTACGTGACTGCTGTTTATGTCTTATTTTCGATCCCCAGTGGTGTGGTTATAATTCCCCAACCCCAAGTTTAATCTTTTAATGCCTTTAAACTTTTTCGCACAATGTTGACTATTTTATACATGTAGTTAAATTTTTTTATTTATGGAGAGCATACTATGCCCCTTTTAGTTGTAGCCAAATTATAGGTATATTATTTTCCATCGTTCCTCAAGTTGATCAAAACTTCAAATTTTCTATGCAGTGCATATTTTTTGTCCAACAATTATGTGCTACATCTTTTTCTCTTCATACATATTGATACTTTGACAGTTCTGAACTGTGTATATCCATACTATAAATTATTGAATCTTAAATGGAAGAATTAAAATTCTGTAAGGTTGCTTTCTATGAAAGGCGTAATTGTGTTCACAAATATAGAAAAAAAAACAGTATGACCAATCAGAGTACACTTGGCTATCAACACGCGGAGTTGGTTGCGAAAGCACTGCAAATGTAACACTTAGCAGGCGATGCTGTGAAAAGGTTTCTTAAAAAAACAACATTTATGATTCCTTTCGGTATTCCCAAATGTTTCAGGATATGTGGCAGACTCGCAATCAGTCAACAAACGAAGCAACGTGTATAATGTTCTGTTTTATGGTACGGTAAGTGGTTTTTGATGATAAAAGGCCTAAACAACGATATGACTACACATAGCACCAAGCTCAAGAAATGAAAAGCTGATAATGATATAAAGATTTTTTAGTGTTTTCATTTTTCTCTATAGACAAGTGGCAAAAGTTGCTGTTCGAAATCAAAATTTTCGTGCCAAAGCTGTGGCGTAATGATTTCTGGCATGACGAAGCAAGATCTTGACCCTAGTCATGCCACAAGTGGAAAAACAAGGATAACCGAGATCATTCTTGAAAACGGGATGTAAACGATCAATTTTAGCTATTAAAAGTTGGTTGTTTAGATAGTATACTCCAATCCGTTATTAAATGGGAGACCCAAATTGCAAAATCACCGACCTATCCGCCAAGCGAAAATCTACGGGATTTTAGAGAACTTCATTTACTAACAAACATCAATGCCTCAGAAAATGACTTACTCTTGAAATATATTTTTAGAGCAACTTAAGATTTTCATAAAATCCATGAGGTGTAGCAAAAAATACAAAATGATAAATTAACACTATGACAAAATCTTCAGTTTTATTAGCTTCAGATTCATCTATATCTCTTGTGATTGAGGTATTTTATAAAGAAATAAAACTCACCTCTTCTTCCAACCCGGTGGACCGCATCTTCGAATTGAACACTTTCACCGTCTTCGGCCGTTCCTCGCTATTTTTCTTCACTCCCACCGAAAACTTCTTTTTGATTTTATCCAATTCCTCCTTTTCCTTCTCGGTCTTCTCATCCACGGCACTTGTTTTCTTCGGAATCTTGCCTAGTTTATCGATAGTTGGCGGCTTCAACTTGGCTAACGTGTCTTTGTCCTTCTCTGCTTGTTTTTCCTTGCTGTCCTTACTATCTTTGCTCTTCGAACTATCCTTCTTGTCCTTACTGCTGCTACTGCTCCTACCGCTGGAGCTTTTGATTTCACCGTTACTCTTATGCCTATCTCTGTCTTTCCTGTCTCTATCTCTGTCTTTGTCTTTACTCGAGCTGCTACTGCTGCTCTTGCTCCTGTCTTTATCCCTACTCGATTTGGAACTGGAACTCGATTTCTTCCTGTCCTTATCTTTATCCCTGTGCCTATCCCTGTCCTTATCCCTACTGCTGCTACTGCTCGACTTACTCCTGGAGCTAGACTTGTGCTTATCATCCTTATCTTTACTTTTTTCTTTCTCCCTTTCCTTCTCTTTCTCTGTATCTTCTTCCACCATTTCAATAGGGGCTGTTTCTGTAGCCTCAGGCTTTTCATCTTTGACATCTTCATCGTTTTTGTTAGGACCACTATAGAATGTACTTGAGGGTACAGTTTCAGGTTCTGCATTCTCCTTTTTCTCTTCGACTGCTTGCTCCGTAACGGCAGGCGCAGAAGCTGCTTCTACTGGGGTAGCGTTTTTATTGGTCTCCGGAACGGCAGGTGCGTTAGGAGGTTGTTGTTGAGATGCAGTATTGCTTTTGACGACGCTCAGCCATTGTTGGACTAGTTGGTTGGATAACTGGGCAACACCTGAAACCAAAATGCAGATTTGAAATCGTATTCGTTTTATATACCCTCCGAAAAAGAAATTCGTATGAATAAATTAAGTATATACGGATAAATATGAACTCGATTTCTTGAATATGATTGATGGATACCTTAAGAAGATATCCATATCTCCATACTGCAGGACAAAACATACAACCCGGACCTTATGGTTAAGTAAAATGTGGTAACAAATATACTACATTCAACACAAAGTTATTATCTATATAGACAAAACTTCACGACTTTAGGAAATCAAAGTTACGACGTCATTCGATTTTTCAAAACCAATACAAGTAAATTCACATTCAAAACTTTATAACTGTTATTTAACTTTCATTTTCTAAAATTCCTAGTCTTAAAAAAAGCCATATTTTGAATGAAATAAACTTACAAACAGATTATGACATTATTAAACTAAACATTATTTAATTGATAAGCAAGATACAAACGATATGAATGTGCTGGTATAAGACGAACAACAAATTTATTTATTGCCTAAAGAAGCTCTTTTTGTATCACATTATCAACTGTCCAGTTTCGAAATTACCTACACGTGTATGGGCAATATAATGACCATAATGGTATTAAATCACAGTGCGACTCAAAGTGGGCTTACAGATTATCAAACAAACAAACAGATCGACAAAAGTGTTGCATAGTTTTCGTGAATGTTCTAAAAATCTAAAACATCAAAACAATATATCTCAAAAATTCTCCGCAATAATACTATCAGAGTTAAAATTTGGTTGTACGTAGGTTGACACTATAAGCAAATATACTAAGTGACATATAAATCCGAACACCCAGTTTAAATGGTTTTATTTTAATAAAATTTTGTATAAGTACTTAATGAAGCATAATAAGTAAATGATAAAAATTTCAAAATGATTGCACTGCTTTAAAGCCCTTTGACCTTTAATAATGTGCGGATGCACCCTGATGTGCTACGCATTCTCCAACGCGCTTAGGCATGCTTCTGATCAGGTGGTCAATGTCCTCCTGTGGTATCTCATTCCAGGCAACCACCAACTCCTCTCGAAGTGCTTCTAGAGTCTGAGGAGGACGTTGCAAATTGAGCGATCTCCTACCCATCATATCCCACACGTGCTCAATTGGGGATAAGTCGGGAGATCTTGGTGGCCATGGTAACAATGTGACATCATTATGTTGAAAGAAGTCTATTGTGACTCTTGCAACATGTGGTCGCGCATTATCTTGTTGGAAAGTTGGATCTGCCAGGGTGTCAAGATAGGGTAAAAGATGGGGTTCTAGAACTTCGTGGATATAACGCTCCGCGTTCATGTTACCTCTGATGAAGATTAAAGGTGACCTGGAACCATAACTCCAACTGTGTAATGAACATGTCTTTCAACAAAAAACTGTGGATGCCTCCTTTCACCACGTCGCCTTCTAACCCTGGCACGACCATCGTGCATGCCTAAACAAAATCGAGACACACTGTTCCATTCCTGATCCCAGAGTGACCGTTGTCTGCACCACTCAAGGCGATTACGTCGGTGTTCTCGAGTTAAAGGGAGGACCCAGTGTGGCCGGTATGAAAACAAGCCAAAACTTCTCATTCGTCGGTAAACACTTCGCATGCCAATAGGTCTTCCGTATTCTGCAAACCAATCATTTGCAATGGACCTGGTAGTGGAGAAACGGTCCCTTAAGGCCAATAATCTTAGGCGGCGATCTTCACGGTCTGTTGTTCTACGGCGGCGTCCAGTGCCCCTTGCTCTTTGCGTACGGCCTTCTCGAAGCCATGCCTGACAACACCTAACCACAGTGTCTACACTTCTTTGCACTCTAACTGCAATTGCCCGAAAAGAAAGTCCAGCTTCCCGAAGTCCCACTATACGGCCCCTATCAAACTCACTAAGTTGACGAAATCGTACAGGTCTCCGTACTCTAGGCATCGTAACCGATCATAAAGGATCCAGGAACCAAAATCCACCAACGTTGATTCTTTACTGCGGCTGAAATATTCATTTTTAGAGCGTTAGTGAATCACAAAAAAGCAGTATAAAAACCGGAATGTCCAACTGATAAGGCTGAAATTTTTTTCACTTGTTATTTACAGTAAGATAAATACATTCACTAACTTTTATTAAAATAAAACCATTTAAACTGGGTGTTCGAATTTATATGTCACTTAGTATACTATACACCTCTTAAATTCGTTCCAGGTATTAAAATTGCATAAGTCTAAGTGTCGATGTGCGACAGTGTATCGCATTTTTTGTGGTATTAACTATTTACAAGTTTATTGTGCTATCAACAAAGGTACGCTATGATTCATCATAGGTCAGGATTCGGGAGGTCGAACAAACGGACGACGGATAAAGGAGAAATTTAGTAAAACTCTGTACTTGCCACGATAACATCAATTCATAAAAAAATATGTTCGGTATAATTTAGACCCCTTGAGAAAAAAGTAAACTACGAACATGTACGAATATAACAAATGAATCAAGTCAGTCAAATATACCGATACAAATCTATTGCCAATTCCCAGCAATTTGACAAGCAACGATAGCGGTTGTCCCTAGGGTGTCGAGATTGTGGAACAACCTACACATCTACTAATTTTAGGCATATCAAAAATCGGATTCACAAAATTTCCTTAGGATCTTCACAGCAGCCGCGATGTCCTAGTATTTAGGCTTCTGCCTGCGCGGCTGGTTCGGTGTAAAAAACACAGTTTCTCATGACGTATTACATTATTACAAATGTTTCTCTATCAGTGGTCACTGTAAGAAGTAAAAGCAATAAAAGACGGACTTTCAAATTTGAATTTGAAAATTTCGCAGTGAAATAATGATAACAAAATCATACCAACAATTTATTGACCTCGTTATGTATAAACAATGTACATCCGAGTGACGTCTTAGCATTAACGTACTCACCGACTAAATAGAAACGGAGCTCAAGCAATGTTTTTTAACAAACTTTGAGAAGCAACGATTAGTCAGATTTTCAAAATAATATTCTTTATTTACATTGACGAATAAATTATATATTTTAACGTCAGGTCTACTTCTTTCAGTGATATTCAATTGCGAGTATGGATTACATGGGTAATAATATATGTATGTAGACTTTTTTGCACGATGATTCGTAAACGGAATTTATAATTTTTTGTAAAATGAAAATTTTGCTAGATGCTACTGTGTTTGGCCAGAGCATTGTTCCATATGTAATAGTACTATGGAACATATTGAAGTAGACTAACTGCAAGGATGGTTATCAAGGCATGCTTAGCTGAATAAGAACAAATAATCGAGTAGATAGTCTAAAATGTAAATGATCAATGTGAGATATCCGGTTGAGTCTGGCATCGAGTACCATTTCTAGAAGTTTTACTGGTTCAGATTTAACAACCCACCTGTCAGAGGAAATTTTATATGTCTGATTTTCATTTAGCGATAACTTGATGGCTATATAATAATAATAATAATAATAATAATAAACAGCTTTATTGACGGAGTTTAGAAAAGCTATTCTTACACTCAACCATGCTAAAACTAGAGAACACATGGTTCAGACACAAAGAGCATTTATTGAAGTTTGAGATGGATGCTATTACTATTTGAGATAACTGTATATAGCTATTATCAAGAATGCAGCTAAAAATGTAGTGTTGATGAATGTTTGTATTTATTGTTAAAAACGTCGACTGTTTGCAGATAATTTTGGTGTTAGGCGATTTCAAGACGTGTTGCTTCTTGCATAATTTGGAAAGGTACAACGCGATCAATTTGGTATTTTTAGTCAAATGAGTCAAAGGTATGCACTAAAACTACGCAATTTTTGCGACAAACAATGCAATGGCTTGGCTCCTAATCCATTCGAATTCGTTGTCTAAAACAAAAGTGGAACTAGTTATCCCATCTGAGATCAAATAGTTAACTATGAACATGTCTTAAGAAGAAACGAATGGAGATGGATCAAGAAACAAATCGGATTAGAATCAGTATGATGATTTCAGTCTGCAAATGTAAAATGTCTAACGTTTGCTCAGGATTTCCTAGGGTAAGGTGCTTCTGAATAATAGAACTACAATCTGCAGCCCCAACAACGCCCTCGAAATTTTTTCCTAGATAATGATAGGTATCTAGAACTCAACAAAAAATTGGGGATTTTTTGTTTTTTTCTGTAACTATATCCTCGCTACCAATGAGTAGTTTTAAAATACAAAGCTTTTACCGGTTGCGATCTTAACCAAAATTACACCAATATCATCAGACTGCCAGTTATACCCAGATTTCAACTCATGAAACGAATAATAACTATACAAAGTTAATGTTATACGTGTTAAAAAGTTCAATTTTCATAATAATTGTTTTTGGGGAGATACTCTGTGTACGAAATACGACTATATTTTTAATATTTCAACACAGTATGTAGGAGACGTAGTTACAGTCTCTAAACTGTAGAAAATATACCCTAGTACTGAATATGTTGAAGACATTAAAAGTTTTTTAACATAGCCCAAATTATTCAAAAGGCAAACTGAAAATAAACTGAAAATAATGATACTGTAAAATGTCAATGTTATAAGATACAGGGAGTCGAAGTTTAATTTTCAAAATCGATTCTTCTGTGTGGTCCAACGTGTTTGTCTTATTACAGACGATCTAATCACAGACTGTAATATCGATACTTTGGCACAACTTTTCGGTTAGCACCATTCAATTATTAAAAAAAAAATACTGATAAAAAGTCATTAAAAACGTTTACGGCCTGTTATAAAAAACATTTCCAACAACATCAAACACTACTTTTTGGAGATGGTAATGTGAGTATTTGATATTTTTATTTTTACATTCACAATACGACTTTTTTGGGTTTAACAATTTTCTCTTGTGATCCTTGAGTAATTATTTTGTAGCGAGTCGTCAATTCAATATGACCGTACGAGTTCGAAGTGACATGCAGCTCCCTTAAAAATTGGCTTTCATTGATTAAGCAACTTATTATCCATTTACATTTATGAATGGAATTGTTTAAACTTTGTAGTCATTTCTATAGGGAACCATTCCTCAAAGACATCCACAAACATATCGTGGAACTTGTGAAACTTTGAATTAAAATCAGTTCCAATGTTATACAAGAACGCTCAGTCAAACAGCAGTCTGCGATAACTATATTATAGGTAGCAAACTGTAAATAACCGTCAGAGATACTGCAATGGATAACTTTTGAAGAATCTGGAGGAATATTTGAAATTATGTTATCTACAGTTATTTTAGAGCTGCTGGTTGTTCACTGGACCAAAGTTCATATTGAAATCACCGCAGATGACCATACTATTATTTTTTAGTTCCTTTGCAGGAGATGATGGAAAATGAATGTGTTAGGATCAGAGTTGGATGACCTGTGAAAACACCCAATCGTCACGAGTCTATCGTTATGCGTTCTAATTTGTCTTAAGGAATACTCAAAAAAAGATTCAGTTTCAGGATCCTCGCATTCAGCCTACGTAAATTGAAGTGAGAAACGGTCAAAAATTGTAACTCCTTCATGTTAGTCAAAGTCGATGATTAACAATGCCTGCGGCTACGGCTAGTTTGTAACAGGTTTATCAACGAAAATTCGTAAGTTACATAGATTTTCCAAAAATTTCGCTATTACTATAGTTACAATTTGCCTGGGATTCAGTGGTTCCGATTTTACTTTTTTTACAAAATCAACCACATAGGTATTCAGATTTATTGATTAAACAACTAAAGGTAATGTTGTACTTACACCAAGAATTCGAAAGCAATTTCAAACGACAATCGTACATTATCGAGCAAAAAAATGAGATTTTTAATTTACAAACGACACTTCACTCTTACTTCCTGCGCGAATTAGCAAGGAAGTATTCTAATTGCGAAGTTTCGTAAATACGAGAATTATTTTTGGAGATGTTACAATGACATTTACATCAAGAAACACCATGTCACCCATTTTCTTAAATTAAAAACTAACGGTATGGAAATCAACAACCAGGTTGGCCATGTCATATATCGCAGGGTTCCCCTTTTTATTCATATAACTTTGGTGTAAAAGGAACAGAAAATCAATCAAACCAACTGATTTGAAACTGGTGACGTAATTTCACCATTTTTTTAAATATTTCTAGTCAAGAATTAAAAAACCTAAATTCTTTTGAAGTTTAGCACATCCTGGTCACTTTAGAGTGTAGTAAAATAAATCACGCAGTCTCACGTGAGGGAGAGCACGGCTGTCAGCAAATATCACGAAATTTTTCTGGCAACAGATTTATCAATTTTAGCATATTTATTTGTTTATCTTATGGTTCCGTTTTATCCCTATGATTTTAGAGTACGATCTAAGCAATCGTAAACAGTAGTATTTAATGGAAATAAAGAAGCAAATTGTGAGCGTTTTTTTAAATAACTTCTACGCGTATCCGCCGAAAAAGAAATTTTGAAAAATCTCACGTGATATTATAGACGGGGGAAGGGTGTCGAGCAGAAAATCGTCTAAAACGCCTCACGTAACTTATGGATACCCCCGTATCACTAATAACGTTTAGAATGATCTTCTACTAGAATATACTCGTATTTACACCAGTTCGTAGTTAGAACCGAGTCAATCTACTTGATTATATGTTTTTGTATCACGAAATATGTTCCAAAATTTAACGCAGAAAGGTTTTCATTAGTGATTTCTTTACTTTCCAATGGCACGACATTGGAACGGCCATATGCATTCCAATTGTTTGATTAGATTATCCATATAAAGACAGTACTAAAAATGTACATATGTTTATCTGTAATAGTCCTAAATCTTGAGGATATTGTTAAAAAACATTTTAAAGCCAGGGTCGTAGTCTAATAACATATTAGAAATACTTACCATTTGGCTTTAATGTTGAATATGAAAAATAATGCAATTAAATCACACCCTAGAAGCACTTTTAATCGGTTTTTGCGAGAAACAGTGTTTTCATTGAAACAGTTAATAGAAATCGAAAGTAGTAGCAGCAATGCATCTTCTAAGATGTTGAAAAATCCAAATTTGAGTTGGTTATAGAAAATAGCGACTTTTAAATGTTTCGATTTCATAAAAAATCGATAATTAAAAAGTTATTACCGCGAAAGAGTTACTAGTAATTCTCGGTACTTGGGCCCTCAATTTATACATAGTAACAGTTTTTTTATACCGCCAGAAAGAGGGAATCAGGTTTTTAAGAGCTCTAGCTAAAAAGTTTTAAGCCTTTGGATATGATCGATCTCCAGTTTCAAGTCTAACGAACTGTTTTGTAAATAATCGACTTCGACCGTTGATTGCGTAAAATCAAAATAAATTTTGAATGTGTTGAAACACTAGTAATTGTGTAGTATATACGAAAATCGAAAATTTATGGCCTTATACATGATCTAAATATTAATGCGTCAAATTTTGAGACATATACATTTTACAATGGACTAATCAGTCTATTGACCAAACCATTTCTGTACAATCCACCTTCTACAAGAAGGATATTGAGGTTAAGGACAAATTTGAACTTCAAACTGACATTTTCTTTTGATATTAAACTAAATCGTGTAATCTCCCGCGTAGTGCTCTAAAACGTAATCAACTAGGGAACAATTAACAGGTTTCATGAGTAAGCGCAGTTTTCATAAAGTTGCAAATCACACCAAAAGCGGATAATTTTTCTAAGTTTATGATAGCGGAAGTTACTCGTAAAACCCGTAAGTTGTCCCCTAGCCAATCAGCATTTAGGGCCATACCAGTGAGATTATACGATTTAGTTTGGTATCAAAGTAGGATTATCGTTTGAAATTCACCAACCTTTTATTTCTATAACATCATTTGAACAAGACAGAACGACCCACAAACTATTCAGCTTTCATTTTCCAAGCAGATCCTCCTTGTCTATCAACATTCCTCCAACTGGTTATTCAACACATCGGATGATTCATTTCATCGTTTGTACTTTGCCGAGTGATATACGATTTTTAGATGTTATATGACTTGTACATCACGAAAAACCATGTCAATCATTTTCCTCCTTTGCCCTTCTATAACTTGGAATGTACTGCACAGATTTTGTTGAAATTTTCGGCAAAAATGAAAAAATAAATCGCTCAAAATTCATGTTTAGACCTTTCAGAAAAAATTTAATAGGGTTTGAAAATCGAGGGTTGTAAAAGTTGCATCTTTGGTATAAATGCATGACGTTCAATTATTTAGACGCATCCGATTACGGTAATAAATGGAAATTTGAATGATACAAAACCGACGAATAATTTGAAATATTGGACGACCGATCATTCTAAGCGAGATGACGGCACATAGTACCTAGGCGCTATTATCACACGTATTTTCTATGCATCTACCACTGGAACAGAAATATGATTTATTTTATAAAATTTGAGATGTAGATTGACTTTAGTCAACATAATGATAGTTTATTTTTGATATTTGCGAATTTAAACGAAGGCGTGGGAAGCCATTTTCTGGACTGTGACAACATTTGTATATTCAAAGATATCAAGTAGTAACTTTATAGTAAAATTTTGTTGTTTTCTCAAAAAACGCTAAAAGCTTGCAGCTAAAGCATTCATTATTCAAATTTGCCTTGTCTAAACTTACAATTATTTCTCATGAGAATAGTGCTCGTCCATTTGCAGTCTACCAAATATAGTTTCCACTGAAGTCAAATCGCATTCAGAAAATATTCATTCAAGTATGTTAGTCTCGGCAATCACAAAATGTATCTGAGTCTTCCAAGTTCACCAGTAGATTCTATCATATTCTTGAAAGCTTCATTAGCTTACATATTATTATTTTAGTATCCAGAAAGTGAGCGACATAATGCGCAGTGTCAATCGCGTGTCTCCTATTAGCTTTAGGCGTCCCATTTTTTGGACCGATTTAGTTGTAGGTCCATCAAAATCAGACTGGTACTTCCCAATCCATAAAGAAGAGGGATTACTGGACAGACGACGGTCAATATTTGCACTCTCCTATAGTGATGTTATGTTTTCTTTTCGCATTGTAGGAAATTTAGGGCTGATAAAACAGATGATATAAATCAAAAGCATAACATGGCCTCAAAATAGAGCGCTGACACGGAACAGTAGAAAACTATGAAAATCAATGAGGCCATGAAGGCGTCCTACAATTGTAGGAACGACTGACGATATGACCCTAAATACTGATCGTACTACATTCGCCAAAGATGACAATTAGCTGGAATTGTTTGTGTTGTATTTATCATTATAAATCTCGGAAATATGTTGAATTCGATTTTTTTAATACTCGCCTATTGACATGAGAAATAAAATGATATCTTGTAAGATCGCATCTCAAACTACAAATAATTAAAAAACTATCAAATACCCAAATTATTGAAATAATCAAGGTAAGCTTGAGCATCATGTAGCACTACATTTAAAATAAAGATGCTTTTACTGGAACCATCAATATTCAAAAATTGTAAAAGACCTTAGAAGATATGTATATGATAGCTTAAACCAAATTATATACTGTTTATTTATCAGAGAAAGACACCTGAATTTGGATGACCTAGACTGCGCAACAAAACTTTGTATTATGTCCTCTGCTTGCTTTTTAGTGTCAATTGCTTGTACAGATTTTCAATCACATCAAGTTTGTAATAATATAAAATGTTTGCATCTATGATGCGTAAAAACTGTCTCAAAGTCAGCATTCCAAAAGTATAATTGAAAAAAAATACTCACCATCCTGTTCCTCTCTACGTGATAGGCTCTTCACCAACTTCGGTAGGATGTTCAATTTCAGCCTCTCTACATCAACTGGGGTCATCAGCAGGAGTCCCAGTACCTCTTTCACCAACTCCCAGTTGCTGTTATGTATAGCATCTTGCAGCCAAGTCTGGATCAAATGCCAACCACCTCCAGCCATGAACAAGTCCACAAAATCTGTTTGCGTGTGCTTTAGAATCAGGATGTACACACATTTACTCACAAGCTTTTTACTGAACTTCATCATCAAACTGCAAAAAATTAAATTTATTTAGGAGATATAAAAAGTTTATCAAACTATCATTTGCTAAACAGATCTTCAACCATTAGAATGAGCTATAAGACTCTAAATAGGTCACATTTCTAAGTGTAACATATGATTTAGGTCAAACAATACATAAAATAATTAAAACATCTAGGTGGTTGAAGATGTAGCTATCCAATCAAGAAATTTTAGGATTCATTAAAAACCAAAAATTAAGACTAGTGATTGGATCTATCTATAATATAAACTAAGTGGTGACTATAGGAAGATAATCCATTCACTAAGTTATCCCTCTATAGTTTTAAGGTGAAAGTATGTAAGAAAATCATAATTTTGTAAAATTAAAATTTCCAAATATTAAGCTATAAATGGCAAACAAATTACTTATGCAAGGCAGATATAAAAAGTGTAATTAGAGCAGGTAAGAACTGCGCTTTACACGTTTTTTGATTCTTAAGATTGTATGATTCAAAATCCTCATAAATGCCATTAAAAAGAAATGCATGATTATTCAAATTACTATAAACGGGATTCGCATGGCAAAAGGAAATACATGATACATAATAAAAAATAATCTATGATGAATTACAACCTTGTACCGATTTTCTTGTTTCTGTGTCATCCATTAAAAATATAAATGCAAAATAAAAATATGAGAACATCGCAAAAACGAATTCGTTAAATATTTTTTCACGATTGTAAAAAACACAAATTTATCCAAAAAAAATCGTTAGTAAATGGTCTTTATAAACTGTTTCCATAAGAGTGCTGACCATTGTTCTTTTATCATTTTTACAGAAACAGTTACACCATTCATGTTCCACAGACTGATACAAATGATATCAATGCTACAAGATTTGGTAACAATGGGAAACCTACACATGACTAAAAAGCTATTCTAGTTCATATTTTCCAACTTAAAATAATACACCTATTTTTTATAATTCTCAGTATCTTAGTAGATCGAAAAATTTAACTAAAACCTAGATGGTGCGTCTAAACAGTGGAACTTTGAAAAATGGACTGGTCTCATCAAGGCGCCAATATAGCCATATTCAAATTAATAAAAACAGCAACTATGAATGCGAGACGAAAATATGAAAACAGTTTCGACGTTGATGAGCCTATGAGCGCGAAAATCGATATTTTCTTTTAAACCTAAACCCTAAATTATTTTACTATGACAATAATCATAAGTAACTAGAAAAACGATGTTTGAGCTTGCTTTGATTTTTTTTTGTGATCGGTTCTCAATTGCTGAAAAAACTATTTGTCGTCGAGTTAGCAAACTTGACAAAAACGGCTCCCAGTGCTCACAAGAAAATTTATAATCATAGTCCAATAAGCACATAGCCTCGTCTTTTAAATGATCTAATATTTAATTTGCGCTTTCGTAATCAATATTAAAAAAACACAGAGCGGACACAAACAAGCGGCATTTACAACGCTTTTTTGGCAGGGGAAGTAAAACTGAAAAGAATCGACCATATATATGATAGGCTCCTAATTTTCGATAGGAGTTGAAATATCCTTTGGAATGTTCGTTTTTGTATCACAACAAAAACTACAAATGGAAAAAACTTCGTAGGCATTGGATTATAGAATATTTGTCCTTTTTCGAAGTCGGTAAACTCGGAAGAGCAGCCATTCTATAGTACCAAAAAATGCATATTTTGGCAATTTATCCTGAAGAGGAAATCACATTCAAACTTTTCATAGTCGGGGTTTTAAGGGTAACGATCTTTGTGGAAGGAAAGGTAATAAAGTCATCATACTAGACAAAGGTATTCGGTATCAAAAAAAAAAATTATCTAAGAATGGCGGCACCGCAGTAACTTTCGGAACGCGCATGCAATTTGAGGAGCTCTGTGGCACGCAGTGTAGCTGCTACAAATTTGGATCTAGAAAAAAAGAAAAAACAAACTAAGCCGAATACGAAGGCGATTTTAAAAATATTGATGTTTGTGCGGTTCGTATTTGAATTCAAAGAAAAAAAATTGTAACCATTCGTTAAATGATGATTGAATTAACTTAATGAAAATCCCATGTTATTTTAAAAATATTTTTAAAAAATCGAAAAAGAATGGAGTCATGCCGTTATGAATGTTCGAGTTCCGTGTTAAAACACCATTTTTCAATATTTTTAAATGGCAATTTGCTTTTTTGTTGCCTAAATATATGCTCATAGCTTCATCTATTATTACAATTCCAGTAGATAAATGTTTTTAATCCGTTAATGGTGTTACCACTTTGATGGAATAAAATCAGAGGGGTCATTCAACGTTTTAGCAGTCGCTCGGTTGCTGAAATATAGCCAGTTCAGACTTCTATAGCTGCGATTCATCCCACATGACCCACAACAGCTTCACACGTTTCGATTCTCCCAATTCCCTAACTGGCCGATTTATTTCATGTACCGACGTCGGTAATCCCATTTTACCATGTACAGAGAAATCTTAATTTATTGACGATACTGTACATTTGCAAATTGTTCCTAGGGTTGACCTCGAGTGACTACGCAAAAGCGAGGCATTGTTGCCACATGTACCAAATTATGAACGATTTCAGATATTCTTTGCTCGGACAAGAATTTTCTTACGCCTTTTTGCGACGTTTTTCTGCTTGAAAATGTGACGCGACACACCAAAAGTTAAAAGCTACTCAACGGAATGTGCTTTCTTTTTCGTCGATCCTACAGTAAAGTCTCCAAGCTGCCTACAGCATTGGCAACATCGCAAATATGGCGACTGTCGGAAATTACTCATTTTGCATACTCTCTGATTATAGGTGCTAAGTGCTAATTATTGGTCTGACATCATCATGAACAAGGTCACAATGCACGTCTTGAATCCACTAATTTAAAAATGATTAAATCTATAGAAAGCAGTAAATACGTCGATGACCGATGGAATTCAGGTCAGGTATTTGGGTCAAGCTTTCTTGATAATGGTAAAGATTTCTTTCACTGACAAAAAAAGTCATTTTATGTACAATTGAGCACAAAAGGTGACACAGAAACCATGAAAATCAGTCGTCCAAGGCTGGGAAACATCTATGATGGCTTTCATTCTGTAACAGAAAAAAAAAACTATTAGTTACGAAACTTACTCGACTAATCTGGGTACCTCTTCTCTTGACAAAATACCGCCTTCCGGTGTCAAAAATGGCGAGAAGCACTTTAAAAGTTGTAACGGATCAATTCGTGGCTATAAAAAGAAATAAAATTAAATCTGCAGAATTAACTAAATAAAGATGGCCGACGTTCGTAACGTCCAGCCGGGCGAACTTTTATTTTCAACCCTTGTTTATGGAACACCCCTACATACCCCCTTAAAACTAAATTAAAATGTTTTTACATGAGAAAAACACGTAAATAAATATACCCTTTATTAATGCAGAGCTTGACCTATAGCACCTTACCATTTTGATTTACGGGATATCCTAATCTGTGGCACACGAAAAAAGTATCGGGTTATCACTACAATGTCTACTATCAATGTTCTTCAACTGCTAAGATTCCGCAACGAATTCAGAAAACAATTCAACTTATTTTCTAAACATATGGAGACAACGCCCTGAACCTCCATTACGTAGACGCAAAAACCAATTTCAAACTTATCTCTTACGATTGCTCTTTCTGATGACGGAATTTAACGTTAAACAATATACACAATGTAGATGAACAAAGTTCTATATACTTTTCTGATGAATACTTAAAATTATATATCTTATTCCAAAGTTAAACCGCGATAAGAACGCAATACGACGCTCTCTCAAGCATTTTCTGAACGGAAATGAATTAATGAATCAATAGAATTCAGGGTCGTGTAGGAGACGTAGAAAACAAAGACCGGATATTGTACTTGTACTACGCATGCGTATTGGAAGCTTTTTCAAATTCAGAAAATTTGTTTGGAACCTTTAGGACAATCGAACATTTTTGTTATGTACAATAAATATAGGTATAATTTATGCATATATAATTTGCGATATTCTTGTACATTATATTTTATAATAATATATTAAATTCGTGTATTGACTACATTGGTTTCAGCGTCAACATAAGTAATCAAATTCCCCTATATAAAATGGAAAAATGCTTAGTGATTTTCTAGAAATAACTAATGGTGTGTTGGCACCACCTAAGTTGCCGCTGTTAATCTAAAGATGGGAGGTCCGTAATAGTTTCTGTATCGAATACATTGGTGATGTGATTAAAATGTTGACTGTCTTGTGAAAATGACAGGAAATCTGGTCACTCGGAATGCACTTACCTAGGACGTGTTAAAAAAATGTAACTAAAAATAACGCACAACATAATGGATATGTCTAAATCAAGAGAAGCAACCGACCACAATTCATTTACGCATCCAACGAATTCGAATATATTTGAAGCCAAGACTATATGCTTATGTTGCATTGTTTTTCGCCAAAATTACGTAATTCTAGGGCATACTTCTATTTCATTTGACTACCATCCTCTACCTAAGTGACAGCGTTGTGTCATCAGAATAATAATACCGGTGGATACATCTACCTTCATTAAGCTTTTGCTGCTTTTTGTAAATTATGCTTTATAATAGTCCAACGCCACAATTATCCGAAAACACCCTCGCTTCCAGAGAATAACACTAAAATATGAATTTAATGACAGGAATGTCCAAAAAATTTATATCTTAAGTGCACATGACAAACAAATCCTCGACTGGGTCCTTCTACCTGGATTGAATTCATTGGATTGCAACCGGCATTACTTTACTGTGGTCCGTATATAATGCCACTAAGTTATATATAGTAATATATTTATTGAACGTGTGTGACATGTGGGATGGTGTATTCATGGACGTCAATATTTATTGATGTATAATGCCAGGAAGAAATTCACTGACACTAATTCATAAATCATTGTAAATACTGAACGTGCAGCATCCGCTTTAAACATGGAATTTGGCTTGCTTCATCCTGATTTAACCTTTATACATTTGTATTCGACATTTCTAGCGATCTATACTTTGATCCATCTCTATAAATAATCCCCTAAGATTATTTTGACATCAGACATCAGATATATGATATATGACAATTGACAGCCGTTAAACTCAAAAATTTGGAAATGGTGTGTTTAATTGTAATTCTAGTTTAATCCTCATCGTGCCATAAATTCACAGTAAAAGTAAAAAAATCTTGTTGATGGCTAAAATACATTAACGACTGTTGAAGCGTGTTTTAGTGAACGTCCTGCAGCCTTGAATCCATCACGTCATCATACCTAACCTCTCTTTAGGCGTCTATTTAGCAACTGAAGATGTTTAATTTTTCAAGAAGTGCAGAAACGCCACGTTCGAGGATGAACGACAGAGGAGATCCTCCTGATGGTCTCGTTGGAAGCTTCATGGAACCCAAAATCACCTCAACGCCTTTGGTCAGGGACAACCACCCTATCTCGCCTCCAAAACCCCGCCTTTTTAGTCCCCATAAGTAAGTTAATGATTATACCATAAATGTAGAAGCTGCTATTTAGTTGATTTCAGTGAAATCATTTGAGGATCCTATAAATTTGAAGATATATGTGTCGCAACTTTGTTGACATACTGGTCTCCAGAAAAGCCTAGGAAAATGTCATGAGGTGTCATTTATACTATGCTCTCAATGTTTCTCTAAGTGAATGAGAGCCTGTGCTCAAAAACTCTCTTATGCTCAAATCATCCTTTTCTCAGAGAGACTTAAGTCTCATATTAAAGTGATAAGTAATAATGCCAAATTATCAACACTTTGTCTGACAGACACAGCATAATTTAAGCACGCTTATATTAATTCAAGGGTATACCTGTATAGAAGTATAAAGGACAACAGCCCCCCATTGGGTTAAATATGTCACAAAATATGGGTTTTTAGATTTGTAATTCGAAATTTGAGCTAACAAAACTGGGCTGTTTTATTAGAGGAAATTGGTGCCCTTTGTGATTGCCTCTGAGTTTCAGAATTGATTCTTCCAATTACAAAATCCTTGTAGCTTTCACATGTTCATCTCCTTAAAATCTGTTCACACTCTCTCAAATCCACAACCTATTATACTAAATGACTATTCGTTATCTGTTACAGGTATTCCTTATCAGAAGTAACACCGTCTTATAATAATAGGAAAAACCCTCTATCCCATACGAAGGCCATTGGTCCTCTTTTGGTTTCTACAAAATACAGTGTGAATGTGAGTACATATGAAGATGCAAAGAGTCCTGGGTTGGTGTCAAGAATAGTGCAATACAATGAGGAGGCAGAACATGAAAAAGAGTACCAGAGGCCTGCTACCCATCAAGCAAAATACAATGGAGCTGGCTTGTTTCCTATTGTGCATTTATTCAAAAAAGATCTTCCCACACTGACTCCTAAAAGGGTTTCTGTGCGACTAGGATCTGTAGGTGAGAATGAATTATATGGTTACTAGATATTGGAGTACATTACTCTAAATCATTCAACTCTGTTATCATGCAAATTATGTTAAAAATTTTATTTCCTGAAAAATGTAATACCTTGGCCTTTTTTTACCATTAGACTTATTTGGTGCTCAAGAACTTTGTCAATTTTATTCCATGAATAAAGGATAAGGGTAGATATAAATTTTTTTTACACCAAATGTATTGGAGTCAGGTGAATCTAACAGTAATGATCTCACAAAAAATATAGATAATATCTTTTGGCAAGACCACAATTTGAGGTATGCTATTCTGTTTTGAAGTTGTAATAGACCAACAGTTTCTGACAGAACATTTTTACCAACCTTAATGTTATATGGTTTTCAGTGTTTTGATTTGGTAATTTACCTTAAAATCTGCTGAAATATTTTTCATTGAGTATTTCATATTTTGTTTTTGTTGTGTCAGATTATTCAAAACCACATAACCAGGAGTATAACCAGAAGCTCTTAGAAGGCATGGTTAAACCGGGTTCAACATATTTAGGAAGAAAGTCTGTAATACAAGGGCCTAATGATAATAATAGTGGCCCGAGAAGTGTGCTAGACGCATTAAAAGAGATATCCAGGAAACGTATACATAGCAGTGAGGTAATGAAAATTATTGTTAAGCTATTATATGCAGTGATGGTGGTAGTAGTAGAAGGATTTATTTAGCTCAGTTGGCTGTAGATTTAATAAGTGATTCCTCAATTATACTTTGAATTTCATCAAAGTACTCTGGTCCTTTTTCTCTGTATTTAGTTTTTTATATTCAATCAACCCTTCTTGAAATACAGATTTGTAACATATACCTTTTGAACATCAAATGGAAGTCATATTTATTTCTGGTAACATGTAAATGATGGTTGGCATTTGATGATGTCAATTTAGCTAGACATGGTGGAAATATATTATTTTTACTTTATAAATATCATTTAAAGATATTTGATGAAATGTCCCACATTAAGCCAAGCATTTGTCTAATTGGAGTATATTTATCTTTATTCCATATTATTTTCATGCACTTGTTTTGTAAAATTTGCAGTCTTTCAAAACTAGAATTATTAGCTAAATATAGAATAGTTGAACAGTACAAGAAATTAGGAAGAATGATAGTATTATAGATAATTTTTCCACTATATAATAATAATAATTTATTCACATCAGTTACAAAATCAGACATCCAGAAACTCTTGATATCCCACTTTACTACTAATCTTGTTTATAATTTTCTCATAATGAATATAAAAATTTAATTACTGACAGTCAACAAAAATCCCAAGGTATTTAAAATAGTCTACGTATTCAATATCTCCAGCATTAATATATAGTTTGTACAGTAGTGGACAAAAGTTCGGAAACATTCTTATGAATTATTAAGTGTGCTAATTTGTTATTCTTTATAATTAAGGTCTATTTTTTTTCTCATATAGTTTGCTTACAGTCTTGAGGATGCAAATGACAATTTGTGTTTGCTGTGGTAATACAGACTAGGATTGAAATACCTTCATATTATTTTATGGCAACAAAAGTATGGAAACTTATTTTTTATGACAAAATTAAATACAAAAAGATTTAAAAAATACTGTTTAGCTAATATTTGGCCTTTAGCATTCAACACTGCCTGACATCTGCTGCTCATAGAAGACACCAATTTATTACAGACACCTGTTGCAATATTTTGCCAAATATTTTTTACATAATCAAATGAATCATTTTTAAAAGTTTTTCTTGTCGGTTGTCTTTTAACATGCTTCCAGAGATGTGCCATAGGGTTTAGGTTTCGGGGTTTGCGAAGGCCATGTAAGAACATTAACATTTTTCAGACTTATCCTGTCCATTACGAATTTTGAGGTACGCTTGGGGTCATTATCCTGCTGGACTGTCCATCGCAAAAGAGAGCATGTGTTCACTAAGAATATTGTTGTAAAGTTTTTTATCCATTTTCCCAACCATTTTAACCCACTAGAAAAACAGCCCCAAGCCATGATGTTACCTCCACCGTGCTTAACTGTTGGCAACTGATACTTTTTGTCGAATCTTCATGGGACAAACGTTTAATGTAGCGATCCAAAACGTAATCGATTTTTTTTCGGTCTTCCGCACCTGGGCCGCGTTGCTGTTGATCCGTATTCTTGATATTTACTAATAATTTTCGAAATCGTCCCTTTGTTCATTTTTAATCTTTGAGAAATTTCAACACTTCTGACACCACATCTAAATAATTCAATTACTTTGTCTCTTAAATCTTTCGAAAATTCTTTTACCATTTTGAAACAAATTTCAAGTCTACATTTATATAAGAAATACCAGATTACATAGTTTGGGCGCTTATACAAATCAAAGTGTCATCGACGAAAATTTTAATTTTTCATTTGTTTGACTATGGCATCCTTTTGGACAAATGATTTTTGAACCAGTCCAAAACACTTTCAGATTTATGAGGGCTGTCTCAAAAATATGGTTCCCACATTTTGAAAAAAATTATTTACTATTGGAAACATTGATCTTTAAGCTATTTTTCTACACAGTCGCCATTTTTTCTATGCATTTTGTAGACGTGGAATCCACTTTTTCACTCCTGCCTCAAGGAAGCCTGGAAGGCCGGTACTGAGCGTCGCCAATAGGCGCTTCTTGTTTGAATCCGTGGTGGGCCAACAAAGTCGACGGTGTTGTAGGTTTCGCACAGCATCACGCATTAGCAAAGTTACATCGTCGGGAACTTTATTTCTGAAACAACCTTCCTCAAACCATATGCCTTCACTTTACCTAACAAAATATCCCTCAATTATTTCAAGTCCAAAAATACTGTCACAGCTTCTTATGAGTCAATATTGATTGAATTGTTGACGTTAATAAAAGAAATATTTTTTATAGGAGCTTGAATTGAATGCGGATGATGTCAAAAGGTCAAGGACAGAGATGTTGAATGGAGATTCGAACAAAAGGTCAAGAGCAGAATCTCCTCCACTGGACTCCTCACCAGAGAGCTACTCCGGCTCTGGAAAACCGCATTCCAAGAGGGTATGCGTTTATGATGAATATGCTGCATCATGTTCTTCCAGCAGTTACTTAACAAAGACACCAGAGTCATCTACAGGTGGTGCCAAAAGAAAATCGATCAGCATAAGTAAGTATTTGGGATAAATTCAATGACTTATCGGTACTCCATAGCTTTTTCGTTACTATGCAGTCTCAATTTCAGTACCGTCTTTTGACGTTGACAAAGATTGGCGGCAGTTATAAATGAAAGTAATAGGCATAGCTAAAAAATGAGGTGTATGGATATTTTTGAAAGTTCATACTCAATAACTTGAAGCTTGATTTTTTGCTCAAGGTTTTTTGGAATATTGTGTTTATGTGAACCGTCCTAGGAACCTACAAGATTTAAAGACCATCATTCATGAAAAAATTGCCAACGTAACACCTGCTATGCTGGCAGAGTCATAATAAACACCAGAAAACAAATAATAACGTTCTGACTTATACGATGGATTTTATTAAGTTATAAATTATTGTATTCTACTGTATATCCAAGGTTGATGTTTACTTTAGTTTTTGTGAAAGGCGGTGAATATTGCTTAGCGTTTTGTACGCCTTTTTCTTCCTTTCTTTGTTAGTTGTAATTGTCATATTTCTCTTTCGAAAATCATGAAATTTTCCAAACATTTTCATGAAGATACCTCCTTGCAGGCACCCTGACCGAAAACCCCAAGGAATCAAAACAAGTAAAACTAGTGACAGTGGAAACACAAACCAGTGACTCTTCTGAAACTACAAGGATTTCAGAATCAACTACCACTACCGAAATAGACAATAAAAAAGACAAAGAAAACGAAGAGGAAACTGCTGACGGTAAAAGAGAAAGCCCAATAAAGATATTTGACGACGTACCCCTGGAAAGAATAAGAAGAAACAGACTGAAGGCTCTGATGGGTAGCTTAGCGGGAAAAGATGCACCATTGGCTTCGAAGCCAGAAACGTCCAACACCTTGGTGATCGAAAAATCCAAAGATGTGGTCGATTCAGAGAAAGACAAGATGCCGGTGTCGATTATGAGCCACAATAAGTCACACCCAGAGAAGTCTGAGAAGCACGTTCACTTTAACATTCCGAATATTTCAAACACCTCAACGAGTAGCTTCCCAGTCCAAACGTCGCAGAGCAACAGTGTCGCCAAACCGCAGACTCCCGCACCTCCCTCATCTCCTGTCAATGTTCCGACTTCTGAGCCGCTGCCTTCAGTCTCACTTTCCACCTCTAAGGATCTACCGGTGATTAACTTTTCTGCAGGTAGCGGTATTTTGAAATCTGTCCCGTCGATACCTAGCTTACAGTTCAATTCTCCCTCGTCTACTTCTCTAGGCTTACCGGCAATTTCTACGTCGGTCACGTCCGTTGCATCATCAACATCTGTCAGCTTCGCAACGTCCAAAGCTGACAATCCTAAAGTTGGAGGGTTCAAATTCGACCTGCCCAAATCTGTTTCTACAACTTCAGCGGCGTCTAGTGTCATGTCCACAACCAGTGCAGCTCAACTGACTTTCAGTACCACCACTTCCAAAGCTGACCTCACAACGGCTAAACCAGCTTTTGGTGCTGTGGCCACTACAAGTTCGTCATTTTCTCCATCTGGCGGGTTTGTTCTTGGATCGAAAAGTTCTTCAAGTAGTACCGCCTTACCGACTTTCGGCCTCAAACCTACCACTGCTAGCAGTACCTTGCCTTCCCTGGTTGCTGGGATCAGCAGCCCGTCATCGACTATAACATTCGGCGCAAAGACTACCTCGTCAACGCCATCTTTCGGAAATATAACTAGCACTGCAACTACGGCATCGCCTGGTTTTGGCACTTCCATAACAAGTGCTGTTAGCTCGGCCCAACCCGCCCCGACGTCAACTCCGACGTTCAACTTTGGTGGTGCCAACAAAGATACTTCAAGCGGTACTGTAACTGCATTCCTCGCACCTGCTACAACCAGTGCGTCGGCTCCTCCGTCTTACGAATCGACTACGCAAAATAAAGCATTCAGCTTTGGGGCTGCGAGCAATGCCACGACAAGTACGCCTTCATTCAACTTTGGAGGAAGCAAGCCAAGTGATCAACCTACTGCAGTAGCACCGTTCGGTTTTGGGGCAACTACGACTACAACTGGTGGATTCGGTAGCACCACTACCTCCATTTCGAGTGCATTTGTGACAACATCGACAACAGCGAGTACTTTCGGCGCAGTGACGAAAACCACCGGTGGTTTTGGAACTGGTACCGCTACCACGACAACCGCTGCAGTGCCGGTATTTGGAGGTGTTCAAACGACAGCATCTTCTACGTTTGGAGGCAGTACCGCGACCGTTACTCCGTTCGCCAAACCAACGGTACCGACCTTTGCGCAGGGTACGACGCAACCGAATTTCGGCGCGTCTACGACGACGTCGGCGCCTAAGTTCGGTAACGCCAGTACGACCAACAACGGCTCCATGTTCGGAGGCGCTAATCCGCCCGCTTTTGGTGCTGCAAGCGGAACTTTCGGAGGTCAAAGCCAGAATCAGAACATATTTGGCGGTGCAGCTGCGGGACAACCTTCTGGGTTTGGAGCATCCAGCTCTGCTAATCAGACGTTCGGAGGAACAGCGCCGCCAGCATTTGGAGGCAGTACTGCTACAACGACCGCCGCTACGGGATTTGGGACAACTGGATCTACGCCCTCGTTTTCGTTTGGGGCTAAAACTACAACATCGGGTGAGTGAATGGAATAATTGCATGTTTGGGACCTTTTTTATGCTTTCTGGTGAGGTACAAATATATCCCTAACCTTGAGATCATTGCACTTAAGCTAAAGTTGCATTCTAATTTGATACTAAATTAATTCTCAACACATTGAACGTCAACGTTTTTTTGTTGGATTTCAAAAATGTTTGTTCAATGTATTTAATAAAATATGGTGGTGAGTGCCTACGAGGCGACGTGGTGCAACTAGAATGCGATTAGTTCACTTGAACCAGTGGCTAATACGTGTAAATTCGTATTATTTGTTTTGTATGATCGTTCCTTATAATTATTCAGAAAAATAGTGAAAATAAAATAAGTGTGTGTAGTGTCAAATTATTTGTAACAAAATCGTCTCTTAGAAAAGCCGTTGAGCCCCTTTCTATTTGAAAAAATTAGTGTTTGTAACTTTTAGTAAATCTTTAAAACGACTGTAAGGTCAAAATCGTATTTTTCCGTGTTACTTGATCAAAAATGAAGTGATTTACGGGATCCATGCCATTCCAGATCGAAAATTGAAATAAAAATGACTTTATTTGTAAGACGTGAGTCGTTATTGAGTTCAGAATGTCATTCTCGATCGAAATAAGTCAAAATCGAAAGTTGGAGTCGTTTCCAGTCAAACCGGAATTACGTCAAATAAAGTGAATATGTCAAAAAATGTATATTCATCTATAATACGCAGCCCCCAAATTTCGTTTTTCTGTCTTCAAAAAAGTTATAGGGGTGAGCCACCTTGGAGAATCATCGGGTGTTTTATATTAGACTCTCGTTAATTTTCCCAACATCGTTTTTACTTTTAGCTGACGTGATTTCAAAATAATGACGTGAACATTCTCACTTTTTCTCATCTAAAGGTGGCATTATGGGAAATGCATTATAGCAGTCGCAGTTACCAGTGTAAAAAATTATGAGTTTTGATCTTATTCACAAAAATGATTGTGCAATTTATTTTGAAATCCCACTACAACTAAAGCCAGGAGAATAGTGATTTTAAAAAAAATCCTTCCTTCGTCTATGTCCACAAATACTCTGATCTGAAAAACTATCTAAATGTGCAACTTTGCCTTTTACCGTTTCTGAGATCCCAATAGCAAGAGTCCAATTTGAATTATTAACACTATCTGTAGTGGTTTAAGGAATTGCATTAAAAGTTATAATCCACTACAGCTCCAACGTTTGGTGCTGGCAACACTTTTGGAACTGTAACAACGACAGCGAGCTCAAGTTTCGGTACCACTTCGACCTCATCATTCAATGGCTCTGGCGGATTTGGAACTACTAACACGACCTTTGGTGCAACGGCAGGGGGTTTTGGAGGCAACACTGCTCCTACTTTTGGAGCTGCTACAACTACTCAGAGCACTGGATTTGGTACTAACACTCCTAGTTTTGGAGCCACTACAGCTTTCGGAGGTTAGTAGTTTATTTAATTTTAGTTTTATAACTCCGACTATCAGCTGTTGAATGTATGCTTTCGAAAAATAAGGATGCATGCAGAGTGTTTATAAAAGTACACAATGGATTATATAGCTCATAAAAAGTACAAAATCGATACGAGGACTATTTGGGGTGTATAAATAATGCATTTTTAAGCACTTGACCTTTATTTCTCATCTTGTACAGTAAGTTTTGAAGTCATCACAAACATGAAATGTAAAATATATATGTAGGTACTGCGAGCAAGCCTGCCTTTGGAAGTACCACACCATCAAGTAGTTCAGCAAAACTTTCTTTTGGAGCTCCTGCACCTGCTACTGGATTTGGTAAGATTTATGCTTGTATATTTACAATTACAGTTTTGTTTTAATCCAAGAAAATTTCGAAAATATTTAAAACACCAATTTCATGAATATAAGACCAGCAAGGGAAGTTTTTTATCTATTCCTGTGCACTCTACTGCCTATAAAAAGTCACTACAATACAATTTAGAGTACTATACTATATAATAACAAGAATGCCTGAAAAAAATAAAGTCCTATGATAAATTTAAATCAAAGCATAGGCTGTTCTTTTATTCAGTTGGTGAATCTTTCAACCTAAAATTTTAGTATGTTTAATTTGACTGTGTGTGTTTTTTATTTTATATAAATATAAACCGAAAAGCCAGTGCACAGTGACAGTAACCAGCATATATTTGTATTGTTCCAGGTCAATCCCACCCAACATCCCCATCTTTCGGCTCGAACGCGGCGTCGGCGTTCTCGAAACCGTCCGGTACCACCTTCGGTACTCCCAACGGCTCGTTTGGTGGTGCCCAGCCACCGGCTGCCAGTAGTGGTGCTTTCAATGCTCCTACCACCACGCAGTCGGGAGTGTTCAGCTTTGGGGGTGCGTCCGCATCAACGACGGCCAAACCAGCGGGTGTGTTTTCATTTGGAGGCGGTGCGACGGGGTCTGGCGATGTCACCAAGCCTAGTTTCAACTTTACTGGAGGTGCTACACCTTCGTTCGGAGGTAAGGAAATTATATTTGTGCATATACTTGACATGACTTGTAATGTCACGTATTCCTGTTAAGGGGTGGTAGATTAGGTCAAAAGCAACCGATTTTGTCCTATCATGTCTTATCCAAAAATAAATCATTTTTGAGTTATTTGAATGTTAAGTTTTTTATTTTTTATTTCGATTTCAGATGGTTAAAATTGAAATACAAAAAAACTGAATGCTTGATTTTGAGTGTTGTGTTATCTTCGCATAGCAGATATTCCAATAGTTCATAATAAGTAATAAAATGCTGAAAAGCTACAAACGTTTTAAAATTACGCTTTTTAAATGTATCATTTTCTTTTCTTTTACTAATTTATTCGATAAAAAATGCAATTTTCTGTAAAAAATCTTCTAGTAATGAAATGTGCAAATTATGTAAATGATATCTCTATCTAACAAGCTTTCATTTGAGGTATTAAGCGTTCAATTATCTGAAGTACATGCAGAGAAACAACAATGACACCCACAGAGGCTGGATTTTAAAGGAATTTGTATTACCTGTTTGAGCAAGTCGTTACTGTCCTCAAAGGACTCGCATGCCATAATTGTTTTATGGCATCGGCTCGACGAGGAAGCGAGCGAGAAGAGCTGACTTTTGTGGAGGAGTGAGAGAGAGAGAGAGAGAGAGAGCTGTTATTCATTATTGTAGTTACGCCATCTCCGCACGCCGAGTGAGAATTAGGTTTAGTTGGTATCAACTACTGCGTACGCGCACACGTTTTACGCACGATTATTATTTTCGAGTTTCCCAGTTCATTTCGAGTGGTTTCTTTATCATCATGGCAGACGCAGAAGATCCGCCAGGACCTCGCCATAGCGAGCACAGCCAAACTTTTCAAATTAAGAATACGCAGACATAATGTTCTGTTATGGACTTTGTAACGGCAATTCTGTAGCTGCCCGCCGTGAATATCGGCAACGTTTCCCGAATGGCCGAACACCTCATGTTACTGTGTTTGACTCTGTGTATCGGCGCATCCGCCAAACCGGACGTGTTCAAAGGCAACATCGTGATGCTGGCCGACCCCGAGTTTATCCTTCTGAAGATGAAGAGGAAATCCTTCGTGTGTTTCAGGAAGACCCTACTACGTCTACGCGCATTGTGGCTGCTCAGTTGGATATATCACAATACAAAGTATGGTTTACTGTGCATACTGCAAGATTATACCCTTATCACTACACGCCAGTGCATGTGATTGAAGAGGGCGATCCTGCAAGACGATTAGATTTCTGCAGGTACATGTTACATGCAGATACGGAAGATCCAGACTAAGAAAATTCAGTGGACCGATGAATCGAAGTTTGATAAGGACGAAGTTCGAACAGTTGCACAAATCTGGTGCAGGCATAGACAGAAACCCAAAAAAACATGCTATTGCGCAAACGCTGACACCCCACATCATCTTTTTTATACTCTTCTATCATTACAGTACCGTTCCGCCATTTTCTATTTTGTAAACTTGGGTGCAACCAAATCCTTCTCGTCCTTTTGTATTTTTTTTCTTATTAAAATAAAAATTACAACTGCGGCGGCTGTGTTGATGATTTCCTTACTCATTTTAACCAACCAGCCATAAAATATGCGCTTCACTAGCGTTCTATGTGACTGTCACAACCGGAATGATGCTTGGCGGCTTTGCGCGGCTTGTGCCGGCGGCTCGTATTGCCGACGGCATAGCCGCTCGACATAAACCCGGCGGCATTGCCGCCGGCACTGTGTGTAATAGCTTTAAAATTAATTACTGTGCTTTTACTGTGACCCATCAAACGCGGTGAAAATACCTATACGTTTAGGATGATAGGGACTTTTTGTATTATTTTTGGATGTACTTTCTGCCCAATAAATATGGCCAGTGTTTTGTTAATCGACAAGTTTATTTTTAATGTTCTTGAGTTCGAAATGAACCAACTAACGTTCTGTGTAGGTGCGACATCACCTTCGTTTGGAGCTAACAACGTAGCAGTGCCACAATTTGGAGCGACTGGAACACCTCAATTTGGAGCAGCCTCTCCTGCACCAGGTATAATATTGTTTTGATTCTTCATCACTGAATAGCTAAAGGTCATCTTTAGTATGATATTTTGTGCTGAATTTAGCATGCATAATTTCGCACAAAATAGGATAGTGTGAGACTGTAATCTTTCGTATACACTCTTACTGCTGTTATAGTTTATTGCTCTATTGCCACTAAGAACAGGATGCAAAAACTGCAAAACAGTTTTAGTGGATTTGTTTTTAATTTAAAGAAATATGATCATATTTAACATGTTATATTAGTGAGCTCGTTGGGTTATGTATGGACGATGCTACAAATATAAAATGCCCACTCTTACTCATAAAATATTAACTCCACTTCTTATCGTTGTAAAAAGTTTGTAGCTCGCAGTAGCATGGCGAAATTTAACTTTATATTTAAAAATCGGCTAAAAATCCCACATTACAGTACATTTTCCGGCGGTCGTTTATTTACAACTCTACCAAAATATGCAAGTGAACATTTGAAAACTCTGTCGGTAAATAGTATGAAAAAACAATCCAAACAGATTATTCTACATCGTTAGCGTTACGTTGGCAGATTGATTCAGGTTATTCATTTATTTCATTGCTTTTGATCTGTTCATTGCGTTTTAATTTAATAGTATCGTCTATACCTTTCATACTTATTTGTGCAATTTTTGAATGTGTATTTTTTGTACGCTTCACAATGTTTATACAGGGAAAACCAAATTTGGCTGATGGCTTGAGTTCAATGCGTACGAGAGATAAGCGCGAGAAGTGTGTGTCGACACATGTTCGAAAGAAATACAAGCTGCTTGAGGAGCGGAGGTCATCATCACATCGCCTAGCAAAGATGACGCAGAGAATCGTGCAATCGGGCTTCTACAATAGGTTAGGTTACTGCCAAACCCAAGAAGGAGGTCTGTTCGTGCATTTAATTTTATACTAAGTGACATATAAATCCGAACACCCAGTTTAAATGGTTTTATTTTAATAAAAGTTGGTGAATGTATTTATCTTACTGTAAATAACAAGTGAAAAAATTTTCAGCCTTATCAGTTGGACATTCCGGTTTTAATACTGCTTTTTTTTAATTCACTAACGCTCTAAAAATGAATATTTCAGCCGCAGTAAAGAATCAACGTTGGCGGATTTTGGTTCTTGACATCCTTTACGATCGGTTACGATGCCTAGAGTACGGAGACCTGTACGATTTCGTCAACTTAGTGAGTTTGATAGGGGCCCTATAGTGGGACTTCGGGAAGCTGGACTTTCTTTTCGGGCAATTGCAGTTAGAGTGCAAAGAAGTGTAGACACTGTGGTTAGGTGTTGTCAGGCATGGCTTCGAGAAGGCCGTACGCAAAGAGCAAGGGGCACTGGACGCCGCCGTAGAACAACAGACCGTGAAGATCGCCGCCTAAGATTATTGGCCTTAAGGGACCGTTTCTCCACTACCAGGTCCATTGCAAATGAATGGTTTGCAGAATACGGAAGACCTATTGGCATGCGAAGTGTTTACCGACGAATGAGAAGTTTTGGCTTGTTTTCATACCGGCCACACTGGGTCCTCCCTTTAACTCGAGAACACCGACGTAATCGCCTTGAGTGGTGCAGACAACGGTCACTCTGGGATCAGGAATGGAACAGTATTGTCTTTAGTGACAAGTCTCGATTTTGTTTAGGCCTGCACGATGGTGGTGCCAGGGTTAGAAGGCGACGTGGTGAAAGGAGGATCCACAGTTTTTTGTTGAAAGACATGTTCATCACACTGTTGGAGTTATGGTTTGGGGTGCTATAGCTTATGGTTCCAGGTCACCTTTAATCTTCATCAGAGGTAACATGAACGCGCAGCGTTATATCCACGAAGTTCTAGAACCCTATCTTGACACCCTGGCAGATCCAACTTTCTAACAAGATAATGCCCGACCACATGTTGCAAGAGTCACAATAGACTTCTTTCAACATAATCATGTCACATTGTTACCACGGCCACCAAGATCTCCCGACTTATCCCCAATTGAGCACGTGTGGGATATGATGGGTAGGAGTTTGCTCAATTTGCAACGTCCTCCTCTGACTCTAGAAGCACTTCGAGAGGAGTTGGTGGTTGCCTGGAATGAGATACCACAGGAGGACATTGACCAGCTGATCAGAAGCATGCCTAGGCGCGTTGGAGAATGCGTAGCACATCAGGGTGCATCCACACATTATTAAAGATCAAAGGGCTTTAAAGCAGTGCAATCATTTTGAAATTTTTATCATTTACTTATTATGCTTCATTAAGTACTTATACAAAATTTTATCAAAATAAAACCATTTAAACTGGGTGTTCGGATTTATATGTCACTTAGTATATATTTTGTTTTGATTTTGGTTCGAATTATTTCAATTTTGATGCGACTTGGTGTTTTAATTTCTTTTAGAATTATCTTTGATTTCCACCGATGGTGTCGAATCGACACTTCGTGACGCAAAATGTGACAAATATGATTACGCAGTACAAATTATCACTGGCTGCGTGTACGCAGCTGAAAGCCATTTCGAAGCAAAACACTCCCCAATGAGCGCTAGATGGAAACTGACCAAAATCGCTGATCTGATCAAGAAGGTGGAAATCTTGCCTTGGAATGTACGAGATGCGGTGTTGCCAAGCGACCCAATGATGCAATGTTACAGAATTCGTGGCAATCCTGACCTAAAACGGAGCGCCGTTAGGACCGATCCTAACCAAATTCGACACCATTCAAAAATGTGTACGCACAAAATAAAACCATTATTTGGGCGTAGAGAATGAACTAACGCATATATTCAACAGGCATCTTAATTCAAGGAACTGGTGTAACATATTGGCCTTGCTAAGCAACGTGGCGTTGAGCTTTGCTATCCAACCGGCTTCTATCTCTTTCTAACATATGTGTTTATACACTAGGGGATAGCTTCCACCAATTTGCAAAACTGCAACAAGATGCAACCAACTGGAGGAGAAAGGATGATATTCTGTTTCTATTGACGCTGAGGGTAAAAATCCCATAAAAAAAAAATGGAAAACGTAGCACCCAAACCAAAATGACTAAACTTAAGTTGCACAACAAAAAGGGTGCTAGTCCATGAATTGTTGCTTGGGGCCTAATATCCCAGAGTCCGGAAAAAGACGAAACGACCCCTGCACCACGACCTCAACGGAAACAGAAAAGCGAATCACGCAGAACACGTAACGTTCTAGAAGAAGGTATCTCGAGTGGCCTTGAAGAAGATATGTTTTATAGGAAACGAACTAACGGAGCAAAAACTACAGTTTTTTGCTGATCGAACTATTAAATTTGCCAAAAGAAAATCATTGAAAAGGGTTTTGCCTAGGAATGGGCACTCTATTATCAGTGAAGAGAAATTCAAATTACGGATAAGTGATAAATAGTTAAAAAAAAAGTTACGTGATTTTGGCACGAGACAACTTCTCTCTCGTACACATTGAATTCAAGCCGTCGGACAAATTTGGTTCTCAGTGTATGTTGAAATATTCGATTCTCTTTAGTTAGTGATATTGTTACTGAAGTAGGTCGAGTGGAATAGATTTGTCTAGACTCCGCCTATAAGGAATAAGATGTGATGTACATTTTTGTATTCCAATAAAGATCTTTTACTATTATTATTATTAATTTCGTTTTGTCTTTCAGGTACTTTTAACATCGGCGCCGGGCCTCCGGCTAGCAACAGGGGCCGAACGACATTGAAACCAAGACGACGTATCTAAGAGTAAAGTGGCGCGTTATTTGAAAATGTGAAATTGTGAGATATATTATACACTGATGGACTTTCCAGGTGTTTTTTGGGTTTTATTGTTTAAATGCGTGCTGATGACCGCCCCATGCGACGTAAGCACGATTATTTTAATGTTGTTTATTTGTAAATAAGAAAATAAGCGTACTGTTCAAAAAGAAATGTGATATTTAGATTGTTATAGTGTCGTGCTTACAGATGCATCGTGGCGTTGTTGTGTATCTTGTATTTATTTCTAGGTCTTTTTAATTTTTAGCTTATACGTATAGAATAAATACAATATTTTATTTATTCGAAGTTTTGGCTTTTTATTTTCTTCCTTTTACCATGATTTGTGTTACCATAGTTAAGGCTTTTGTAGCTACGGATAATTTCGACAAATGTTCGTTCCACCCGATTTTGATGAAATGATTGAAAATCGGTCCAATGGTGGCGGAGAAAAATTTCAAAAACTAAAAAAACAAAAATCGCCCAAACTTGCTTTTTGACTTTTCCGAGGGAAAAAACATTGCTCAATAAACTGGTAGTGATGGCCGGAAAACAGATATTTTGGGATAAACAATTAGAAATTCTCAAAAACTACTTGACCAAACTCCAACTTTGTTGTGGTTATTTAGAAGTATGAATCCTACGAATTTGGAGAATTTCAAGTGTATCTACGAGAAACCATCGTCGCATTATCAACAAGTGCCAAAACCTGCAGTTTGCTTCGATTTTTGGCCATAACTTTTTTGCTATTAGTCGGATCTTTTTACGTGTGGTCTCATAAATACCTAAAAACCTTATACGAAGTTTTTTCGTTCCCGCCAAAAGTTTCTATTGTATCCCAAATCACACGTTTTCTCATTCTTTGTTGTTGAATAAAAAGGTTTCCCACAAAAATTGGTGTACCCATTTTATGATTCCGTTTTAAATACCCCTTTGAACAACTTGCATTAATAAAACCAAACTTTACAATTATTTCGGGTAAATTTGCCGATATGATTAGCCTAAATACCAAAATCCGTGATACGACGATTACGTATACTTTGTGATACTGCACGAGGATTAAAAACCAATTTTATATTCTTCAAAAATTTATTTTAATACAAATATAAATATACATTGACATATAACCCAAAAATTGAACAGTTCCATACGCTACTCATTCAGTATATATTTCAGGAGTAACAACAAAAATATAAATATTGTATAAAAGCACTCTCCCAATAAAAATTTCGAGGTGCATGTAAAACAAAAATTCTTGAAAAAGAAAACAACAGAATAATCCGGCTTTTCTATATTAAAAATATATACAGAACGAAAACTCCCTCAAACACGGAGCAGTCTTTGATAACAACACAATTGCTAGAGAAAGCTACTGTTTTGAATTACCATTTATCACAACACTGCAGTGCTCTTTGAAAGGTTACTTGTAGAAATTGCTAATACAAAAACATATCGCTGCTTCTCAAGAATAGTGACACTATCCAAAAAACGAAAAATGTTGGCTCAGGAATAAAGACATTTGCAGTTATTTCAAAGGGTATTTTCTCAAGATAACGTCATATTAGAGCAAAGTACTCTAATAACAGATCGTGTTAATCAAGAATAGTGACATAAAGTGCATTGTGACTATCTTCCTACAACACAAAAATTCGGAAAATGAGTCATTCAAACTATCAGATGTTAAAAGAATAAGAGTAGAATCTCAACAACCTGGAACATTTTTCTACAAAAACTCATACAGTAAGACTGATTTTCGTAAAAGTTTAGGTAGTTGAAAAAGCAACAAAAAGAGGTCCTACAGTTACTCTGCATAAAGGATATAAATGAGAAAAAAAAGCGCCTTACTTAATTTAGTACAAAAAAATATAATACCCTCATACTATGAGGAATTTTACAATAATTTGTAGGCAATTTTTGAATTGTACTTGTTTTTTTCTGTACTTTACTTCCACGTAGCCTTTAAAATGTTAGTTGTATATCATTGGTAGTAATACTCTTTGTTGTGTAACCACGAATTGTTTGCCATATATTTTTAGAAATGCATAATTTTTTTAGGAATAATGCCACATTCCTGTAAAGTTGCAAAAACGGAATAAAATGGGATAGTTTTGAAAACATACTGATCATTTATTCAATGAATCTCAAAGTTTAATCAACATTTAATTGATAATTTTTCTAAATCCCAATTATTAACTTTATCTTCAGTTATCCGAAATTGTTCTTCAAAAAATATTAAAAACGCCTCTCCTGAAAAAAGCTTATTTTGAACAGTGTCACTATTCTTGAGAAACAGCGGTATACAATGTTCATTAGGTTAAGATTTATTTATTTATTGGAACTTTTGAGCAGTTCAATGCTTTGAGCTATGCCACGTTGGAGTTAAATGAAATAAAAAAAATACACCAAAACCATATTCAAAACTGTAGCTAACTCTTATGATGAATATTTGTAATTGAAGACAAAATAGCCATCCAATTATATAATTTTAATTTCTCTCACTTTAAAATTACCAAATCAAACTCATACAGTAAAAATGCAAAATAATGGGTCATAATATTGGCAGTGGAAAACTTTTAAAATAGAAGAGCTGTTCATGTTATCAAAGACCACCCTTTAATCCACTCTTTCCAGAAATCACACTAGTCAGACTATTCACAGTTTAAATTGCATAAATATGCAGCTGTGGAAAATACAACGAGAACCGCATAGGTTCAGTAGTTATCTATAATATTTGATATAGTAAGAAGATTCACTCAAAACTGTGGTTGATACAAAAAAATAATGATTTAGATAATCGTCGCGCTACCATTAATTATTTTTAGAGCATGAAAAATGCATGCTATCGTCAGTTTTCATTAAACCTTCTTAATATATTTGACATGACATTTGTTGTGACCCAGGTCTAGTTCGAAACCACTCATGTATGTATATCTATACATATAAAATTAAACTCTCGTGAATAAATTACGCATTTACATAATACTCTAAATATATTAAACATTCTGAAGACTAGATTCAGTCGAATTAATTTTTATCTCGGATTATAACAATCCTAATAGCATAAAAAATGACACTAGAAGGAATGTATGAGTATGCATTTTTACTTAGAAAAACACAATTTTTCAAAAGGTGCTTAGGTGCTACAAATTTCGAGACATAAGAAGAAAGATTAGTGGCGGCTAGTGTAACAATGAGACTCGATCAAAAATTTTAAAAATGTCTGTAATAATGAGATTCTAATTATGTGAAGCTTTGGAATTTTTAGTCACTTTCATACGATTTCCATTTCACTGAAATACACAGGTTAATTATACAGGGTGTTCGCAAAGTTTCTTTTACAGGGCGTATAGATTTTGAAAAATAAACGGCTTTTCCAAGTAGCATATACACCAAAGTCTCAAGATATCAAGCATCGCAAATTCAATCAAATCTAAACCAAACTTAAATGCTGCTGTAACTCGATCAGGCACCGGCAACAAAAACCCTCCTCCTCGCACCAACGCAACTGTTATAGCTAGAGTACTGAAAAAATTATGCCATATCTACTTACTTTTTTCAGTTTTTTTAACAGTTTATACAGAGTAGCCAAGAACGTAAAATGAACGATTTCTCAAAAATTATAAATGGAACACCGTGTGCATATTCACATTCCTTGGGTTCCCCTTCTACAAGCTTTTTTATATAAGACTTTTGGGGTTTTGTACGACCGGGCTTTAGGTTACAGCTAACCTGTTTGCAAATCAGATATCAAGGCGAATTGACACTATCACAATACCTTTCAAAGTAACAAATACCGGTTAGTAAAGCCAGATCTTTAGAATTGACGTACAGCAGACGCTCGATAACGTAAACACGGGATAATGAAAACTTGCGCTAATGTAAACACAAACTTCGTTCTATAGGATCAAACGGAACGTGCGATAACGTAAACAATGTGTACGCTCGATAACGTAAACAACACTCGGCGCACGGAAACAGCGCGACGGTAAAATGCTGAAGCCTCGTTGATTTATGTCGGGCGTCGGGGAGTCCCCGATTTATGATGTAGAGTGTAGGTGGTTCACCTCTGCGATAAAATACGACACTCGGTCAGTCGTATGATCGTTTAGGATACGTTTATACGTACGTATGTATTTCATTTTTGAACTTAAGTGAATACATTGCACGCGTTAATATATTTTACGACTATGGCATCCACATCCTATAAAAGAAAGTGTTTAAAGTTGAGTGAGAAAGTGAAAATCATAGACGAAGTTGCACTAGGTGCGGGAGTGACACAGTTAGCAAAAAAATATGGAGTATTGAAAGCAACAATTTGTAAAATTAAGCGTATGAAAACTGAAATTTTACAAAGAACGTGCAATACATTTGGAGGTCCGGGAAAAAGAAAAACTTAAAAAAATGCGAAGGCACCTAAAATGGAAAATTTCCTGTATAAGTGGTTTTTAAAATAACGGGAAAATCATGTCCCAGTTAGTGGCGAAGTACTTAAACAGAGAGCGAGACTGTTAAATGAAAATCTGAAAGAAACTGAAAATTTCGTAGCTAGTGATGGCTGGCTACAACGATTAAAAACAAGATATGGAATTCGACTGCTGTCTATATCTGGTGAAAAATTATCAGCACAACCACAACTAGTGCAACCATTCAAAGAAAAATTGATGAAAACATTACCGAGCTAGATTTAAGAATGGAACAAATTTACAACGCCGATGAAAGTGGCCTTTATTGGAAAATGTTACCAGAGAAAACCTATGCTGCATCATTTGAAAAATCTGCCCCGGGAAGAAAGCCGGAGAAACAACGAATAACGTTTCTAGCCTGCACTAATGCTAATGGTTCACACAAAATAAAGCCACTGGTAATTGGGAAAGCAAAAAATCGCGCTCATTTAAAAATGTTAATATCCCTGTTGATTATGACTGTTCAAAAACCGCTTGGATGACTAGCAGTATATTCCTCAAATGGTTCCACAGGTGCTTTATCCCTCAGGTAAGACAATCAATTATCACAAATGCTCTATTCATAATTTGAAGATGTGTTTTCAATTTGTAGGTAAAAGGTTTCCTAAAACAACAGAAGCTTCCAATAAAAGCGTTGTTACTATTGGATAATGCACCAAGTCATCCTCCCGAGCAACAAGTGAGGAGCAGGGATGGGTCAATTTTCGTCATGTACATGCCGCCCAACGTAACACCGTTAATTCAACCGATGGACCAGAATATAATAAGACTCACCAAACTATACTATAGGAAGTTTCTACTTTCGTCTGTCTTATCAAAGAATCCTGAAAACTTATCTGAGGCTTTAAAAAAAGTAATATTACGAGAAGCTGTTTTAGATTTACATATGGCCTGGAATGAACTTAACCAGCAAACTATTCAAAAATGTTGGAACAATCTCTTTGTACCAATAATGAAGATGATGAAGAAGACGATGTCCCCTTAAGCGTAATTAGAGAACGTTTGCGATCCAATAATGATAATGTTATTAGTGTGTCATTGGATGTTGTTGATTTATTGAAAACAGTGAATCCCAACATTGTTTGTACTCCTGCTGATATTAATTTATGGAACGAAGATAAGCAGACGAATGATGCTGATAAGGAGGAGGATATGGACAGTGAGGATGATGAGAACGATCCCATTGAAGTCAGAAGTGTAGTGACTGACGCGCAAGCTATACAAGTTTTTAACCAAGCTTTAGATTGGGCTGAAACGGATATTTTAGTTCTTCGTAAATTACGGGCGCAGGCATTGGAAGACAATGCTAAGCGCAAATTTACGCAGACAAAAATTGTTAATTATTTTTTTTTCTAATTAAAAAAATACTTACCGCTGTTAGAATATTTGTTTATTTTGTTATAAATAGTATGTATTAAACGTTTCTTTTAATAAATCAAATATTATATAAATCACGTTCGCTAATGTAAACATTTCGATAATGTGAACCACACTTGGATTAAATTAGTTTACATTATCGAGCGTCTGCTGTATTGTTGTTATAAGTTAAATCTACTTAGCCTAAAGGCTGTCTGTCACGAGACGAAATTTTGTACTAAATTTAGTAACATTAAGGATCGTATCAGATAGCATTTAGTACATAAATTTGTATGAACAAATTGAGTGCTAAATTTTTTAGAAGCTGTTCTAAATAATATCATGCTAAAAGTGAGCAGACGCCTACTGAGCATTTGGAGCAGTACAATGGCTGAAAGAAGCACTACGTGACAAGAAATTACATGTTTTGTGTTAACTCCTTGATATTCCCTTAATGTTTTGTGATGATTAGATGATATTTTAATTTGTTGACAAAAACAAGCCTAACCTCAAGCACTTTCATCAGTTGTTGTGATCAGTTTCAAGAGACTCCCTTGCTTATGCTGTATGTTGTTCTACTTGTAAATTGAAAAACTTGAAAGATGTCATTGTCAAAAGGGCAGTGTGACATACTACTAAGCGAGTATGAGAAATATGATTGTTTATTTGCTGTAAAAAGCAATGCCTTTAAAAACAGAAACGCCAAATAAGCTGCGTTGGGATCATTCCAATTGATAAAGAAGCAAGCGGCAAAGGAAAAGTGTGGTTAGTATGACTTTGACGTGATAAATGGCAGTTCGAAGTTGACAGTTATAGTTTTTTCTACCGACAGCGACTGATTCCGTACGAAATTTATTACAAAAATTTCTTTACGTGACAGACAGGATTGTAATTTGTAAACAAACTGGGAACTAAATTCAGCAACGCATTTTATCACTAAATTTGGTACCAAATTTATGAACAAAATTTTGTACCGTAACAGACGGCCTATATGCAATAAAGCCGAAAAGTCAAAAACCATTCATACATAATAAGCCTCATATCAGAAAAAAAGCTTTTGAAACGGGAGATCAAAAAGTGTGAAAATATACTGGGTGCTCCATTTGAAAATTTTAAGAAATAGTTACTTTTTGCTTCTTGTCTACTCTGTTGAAACTATATAAAAAAAAAAACGGAAAAAATGAGTAAATAGGTTCAAAATATGAGATCATAAATTATTTTTAACGACAAATTTAGTACTCTAGCTATAACAGATGTGGTTGTGCGAGTTTTCAAAGTCGAGTATTTTTTTTTTCGATAAATCGCCAATATCCCAACAATCTGAAAATAAAACCCTATGGTGTGTTATATCAAATTGCTTCGTTTGAAAGGGCATATCAAAGTCTGCAATAAAATGTAAGGCTTTCCATTAAAAAAAGTATGAGTCGCCACGTAGTTGTGAATCGCCCTGAAGAAATAAAAATATTTTACAATTTGTGAGGATACTGTTGGCTACAATTTTTGTATTGTACCTTATGAAACGGGAGATCAAAAGGTATGAAAATATACTGGGTGTTCCATTTGGAAATTTTGAGAATTAGTTAATTTTTTCTTCTTGACTAATCTGTAGAAACTATCAGAAAACCTGAAAAAGTGATTAAATAGGTTCTAAATTATTTTTAACGACAGTTTCAGTAATCTAACTATAACAGTTGAGGAGGTGCGAGTTCTCAGAGTTGAGTGTCTTTTTTTCGATAGATTGCCAATATCCCAACATTCTGAAAATAAAACCCTGCTTCGTTTGAAAGGGCCTATTAAAATCTGCAATAAATGTAGGATTTTCCATTAAAAATGTATGATTCACCACGTAGTTGTAAATCGCGCTATAAAAATATTTTCCAATTCGTGAAAATACTGTTGGCTACAATTTTTGTATTGAACCTTATGAAAAGGGAGATTAAAAGGTGTGAAAATATACTGGGTGTTTCAATTGAAAATTTTGAGATATAGTTAATGTTGGCTTCTTGACTGCTCTGTACAAACTATCCGGAAAACTGGAAAAGTTAGTAGATAGGTGTAAAACATGTGATCATAAAATGTTTTTAACGAAAAATTCAATACTCAAAGTTGTATCTTTTTCGATAGACTGTCCAATAGCTCAACAATCTGAAAATAAAACCTTATGGTGATATCAAATTACTTCGTTCTGAAATGGTCGATCCAAATCAGCAATGAAATGTAGGGCTTTTCATTCAAAAAAGTATATTCAAGTCTCGTAGTTATGAATACCTCTGTAGAAATAAAAATATTTTCAAAGTCGGGAAGATACTGTTTGGTTACAATTTTTGTACTAACCTTTTTATATACAATGCGTAATAACGGAGTTATCAACCACATTAAAAACTCACCCTGTGAGTAATAAGAAATTAGCACGAACCGCCACTGGAGGAAAAAGATACTTTTGACATTTCAAGGGACTCTTAGGATCGCACACCAGACCCAGACCGCAACCAGAACCAATCAACAAAAATGAAATCTCTCCCGGTTTCTTCCGTAACCCTCCCCGTACAAACTTGGTAAATCGAAACAAGTCGAACTGCTACTTCACGCATTTTCGATTTACCTGCCTTCCGCATTGGTCTCTCTAATCTTCCGGCAGGTCTTCGTCGGTGGCGTACTCGCTCTCGTGGCCCTCCCCGTCGGCGGGACCCGCTTCCTCTTCGGAGTCCTCGAACTCCCATTGCGGGTGTTCCGTCACCTCCGGCGGCGGCTCCTTCACGTCCAATTTGATGTCCTTCTGTTGGTCGAAGCCCAGGTACGAGTCGGAACGGAGGCACACGGTGAACGTGTAGATGCCGGGCCACTTTGGCGCCGTAAACTGGAAGAACGGAAAGTGGCGTCAAGCGGATCGACTCTGTACTCCCCGAGCAATAGGGATGTGCATGTGATTCAAATATCGGTTATTCATTTTTATTCAGTATAATTTTTCGCGGAGGAGAAGTACCACGTATTGTTATGCTCAGAATAAGACGGTTGGATATGATTTACTTCTATGCAAAAGTGGTCGTTTGTCCATTGCAGGACGTCAGGGTTTTATTTTGATACACATTTTTGGAACTGATTTCAATGAAATATATTTTGCCTGATACGAGGGATGTCTTTTAAGTTTTGTATATGGAAATAAAACAACACGGTAGGTAGTTTTAAATGACTTTATTGTTTTTCGAAGTATACTCCACGAAGATTAACACAAATCTGCATGCGCTCGAACCAATTTTCGAAGCACTTTTCCACTCGTTTGCTGGCAGATCCAAAACGGCATTTTTGAATGCGTCAACTGCTTCTTCTAGTGACTGGAACCTTTGACCACGCAGTCTGTTTTTAATTTTTGGGAAAGTAAAGAAATCGTTAGCACTTAGATCGGGACTATATGGAGGATGGTCCAATAATTCCACGTTTTCTTACGGAAGATTAAGGCCTTGTTTTTTGGGCTGTGTGCGAGCTTGCATTGTCTTGGTGGAGGATGATTCTTCTTTCGGGGTTGATTTTTCGAAGCTCGGTGATGACTTTTGGCAAACAAATGGCGGTATACCAATCCGCAGTAACAGTTCTTTTCTCATTAAGAGGAATTGCTTTTGACACACATATGTCGCGACCATCTTTTTCGAAACACTTCGAGAACGAATGACTTTTGTTGGCTTTTCTTCACCTTGGAACACCCAAACAGCCGACTGTCGTTTATTTTCTGGTTCATAACAGTAAATCCACGATTCATCACCACTAACAATGCTGTACACATTTTTTGAGTATCCGGAATTGAAACGTTCAAGAATTTTTTTACACCAATTAACCCTGGCTGCTTTCTGCTCTTCAGTCAACAGGTGGGGCATCCAACGAGAAACTAATTTTCTTACTCCTAATTCTTCAGTAACTCAGCAAGGCATTCTTGTTGCGATAATTGTCTCCGAAAGTTGTAATAAATTATGGCGCGAAAATGTTCTCGGTTGAGTTCCATTTTTCTAATGACTTGGTGACACTTAAAAATTCACTGTAGTGAGAACACTGCACGTATTGTTGTGAAACTTTGAATTTAAGTTTACTAAAGAGTGAGTTTAAGATTCAGTACTGACGTTCGATCCGCGCGGCCTACTATGTTTTCTATATGCAAAACGTATTTGACTTTTTACAAAAAAAAAGTTCTAGAAAGGTGAAAAGTACCCCACCCCTACATACATTATAGCAGAATTCGCTCAAAGAAGTTACATGAAATAAGCTAGTCAAAGCTACAATTTATAAAAGGAAAAATTCAAGACCTTGGTTCTTACATAAGTTCAAGGATTCTGAGTTAAAAAGAGACTACAATTATAGAAAGTCTATTATTACTGGAAGTGAAAATGATTGGCTTGAATACACAAGATCAAGAAACCAATCTGTAGCAGTTCTACCAGATGAAAAAAAGAAATACTCTCAATAAACTAGTAGTGATGGCCGGAAGACAAAAAACTAATTGACCAATCGACTCCAATCTTGTTGTGTTTATTTAAAAGTAAGAATCCTTCGGATTTGAAGAATTTCAAGTAGCCGTGTAAAATTTTCGTCGCATTAGCAACAATCTGCATTTTGCCTCGGTTTTTGACCATAACTTTTTTACTATTAGTTGAATCTTTTTACGTGAGGCCTCATTCTGTAGGTCTCATGAATACCTAAATCTTATTTGAAGAGTTTTTTCGTTCCTACCATCACTTTCGATTGCATCCCAAAAAACATGTTTTCTCATTCTTTGTTGTCGCATAAAAAGATTTTCCACCAAAATTGGTGTACCCATTTTAAGCATCCATGTTTTACGAGGGTGGTCCCAGAAGTACCCGGCCTGACCTACAGATGGCGATAGTTGTTTGAAAAATATCATTGTATTAGAAAGTATGCAACCTATAAAGCATATGTGTCAAGTTTGAAGACGCCACGTTGCTTAGTATTTGTTTGGCAGCCATCAATACTGAACGTTTTCAGTGAATTTGTGAAAATGGAGAAAATTGGTCATGTGGTACAATACTTTTATTTCAAAGACCTCAGCCCAACCAATATAAAAGCTGAACTGAATTCTACTCTGGGTCAGTCTGCTCATTCGTTTACAACAGTAAAATATTGGGTAGCAGAGTTTAAACGAGACCGTATGAGCTGCCAAGACGAGAATCGCAGTGGTCGACAAAATGAGGGGACGACTCCAGAAATGGTGAAGAAAATTCACAAAGCGGTACCGAATGATCGTCGACTGAAAGTGCGCGAGCTAGCAGACATAGTAGGCATTTCAAAAAGTGCGGTTCATCGCATATTATCTGAAAATTTGGACATGAGAAAGCTGTGTGCCGCGATTGCTTATAATTGAGCAAAATCAGTGTCGTGAAAATGTTTCAATTGAGTGTTTAGCGAAGTTTCACAGCAACAAAGCAGAATTTTTGCGTCGTTTCATAACCATGGATGAAACATGGGTCCATCACTTCGAGACAAAAGACAATGGACGCAAAAGTGACAACCGGCTCCAAAGAAGGCGAAGACCGTTTCATCTGCGGGCAAGGTTATGGCGTCGGTTTTTTGGGATGCGCCTGGGATAATTTTCATTGACTATCTTGAAAAAGGTAAAACTATCAACGGCGAGTATTATGCGAACTTATTGCAACATTTGAGCGATGAAATCAAGCAAAAACGGCCGCATTTGGTTAAGAAGAAATGACAATGCACCAGCTCACAAATCCGTTATTGCAATGGCCAAAATTAACGAATCAAAGTTTGAATTGCTACCTCATGCACCCTATTTACCAGATTTAGCCCCCTCGGATTATTTTCTGTTTCCAAACTTGAAAAAATGGCTCACTGGTCATAGATTTTCCAACGATGAAGAAGTGATGTCGGCAGTTAATGGCTATTTTGAGAAGCAAGACAGTTCTTATTATGAAAAGGATATCGAACTTATTGAACATCGCTGGGAAAAGTGTATAGAGCTCAAAGGAGATTATGTTGAAAAATAAATACATTTTTTTACAAAATTTTCTGGGACCACCCTCGTAAATACCCCCTGAACAACTTGCATCAATAAAACCAGACTTTACAATATTTATTTTCGTAACTTGTCGAGATTTATTTTGCGCAATTTGTAGCTCCGAAGAAAACATTAAATAAATGTAGAGACGTCGGCTTTACGACTAGAGTGAATCATTGAACATTATATCCCAAGATCCGAAGATTACGAGAAGTAACTGTTTTCATCTACGGATGATCTTACCTTAAGATGAATCGCCTCTTTTTCTACTAAACTAGTAACATGGTAAGGATGCGTCAAAAGTGTCCTAGATCTTCTATCACAAATATAAACCCACCAATACTCTTGTTTATCATGCGGGAAATATGGACAATGGACTGGATGGGACGATTTTGATTTTCCTTCAAGGGATTTTTCCCTTTCATGGATTTTCTGGAACTTCTCCCATTCCTAAAAATCGAAAAAAAACCTTTTGAAGATCTTCAGTTCAATATATTTGCTGCTGTTCACTGCTTAAGGCTGTATTAGCCTGACAGCTGGAGCTTAAAGAATAAGCGAGTTTTTTGGCCTTGAAACTAACACGAATCTCAAGTTGACATTTTGATTTTATGAGATTTTAAAGTAGTGCCACTTGCACAATGGGGAAAACAGAATTTCCCATATAAATATTACAGGGAAAAATATGTATCACAATATGTCAAGCATAAAAATCTCAGGCATTTCTACAAATTGTGACCAAACGCAAGTGGTACCTCAAAGCGCAGTTAGACCACAGTGGCGTAGCTAGAAGTCATGGGGCCCCGGGGCAAACATTTTTTGGGGGCCCTCACGAGTATGTTTAAGAATAAAAAATATCATGTTATAATAAAAAAAAATTTTATTGCCATAAAACAAAAATTAACACAAATTGAAATAATGAAATAACAATAATAAAATTAAAAATCCCTTTTTCTTGCTTTTCTATTTGCAAATTCGTTGATAATATCATTTATATCAAGGTTTTGGGCTTCTTCATTCTCTATAGAGAGCAAAGCAAGATCGCTTAATCTAATCTGAACTGTAGTAGACCTAAGATAGTTTTTTAGAAGTTTTAGCTTGTTAAATGATCTTTCAACAATTGCAGTAGTTACAGGCAACGTAAAAAATAAAAGAAACATTAAGTAAACTTCACTTAAGTCGCTTTCAAGTACTCCATACTTACTTGAAATTATATTGAAATATTCCTTAACTGATAGATCATTGTTAAGGTCTGTTTTCCAAACATTTAACAAATTGGTATACTGAAATAATAAATTATTTAAATCAAATATTTCAGGATATTTGTTATAAATGGATGTTTCATCTCAACTTAATATAATTTTTGGAGGAACTAAATCAAACAATTTATTAATTTTTTCATGCTCCTAAATCTATTAGAAATCTTTGTCAGAACACGGTCCATAACAACATTAAAAACATTTATTTTTAATAAAATGTGAGTATTATTAAATCTGTAATCAGTTAAGAGTTCGTCAAAGTGTTTTTTAACTTTAGGTTGACATATTTGCCTGAATTCCGGTTGAATATTCCATTTGCTAGCCAGTTCCGTAGCTTCAATCATTAAAATTTCAGTAAGTTTTTTTTCTACTTGTTCTAAAACAGTCACAGATTCACTTAAATCAATATTTTTCTTTTGAAGGACCTTTGAGGCGAAGTTAACCTGGGTAAAGATTTTATAAAACATTGTTGAAATAAATACAAATTCAAAGCAACACATTTGTTTTTTAATGGAAGAAGCTTCTCTTTCTTCTTTTTTATGAGACTGTAACTCTATTTCTGTTAAAGATTTAATAATATCAAGATAATGAAGTTTGACAGCACTAATAGACAATATCCTTCCTGACCAACGAGTTGGATTTAATGTTTTTAAAGTTGTTTTGGATTCACTGGTAAAAGAAGCTAAAATATCCCATCTATTAATACTTAAACCAAAAAAAGAATATATATTTTGCAAAGTGGCAAAATATTGCGAGACCTCTTTACAACAATTTACTGCATCATTTATTATTAAATTTAAGTTGTGACTTGCACAATGTACATATTCGGCATTTTCTTGAACTCTGTTTATTTGAGCATTTACTCCATTATAAGCCCCACTCATTATACTGGCTCCATCGTAGCCTTGCCCATAACATTTTTCAATGGGAATATCTAGATTTTTTAGTATATTTAAAACTTCTTGAGTCATTCCTCCAGCAGAATGATCTTTTAACTGGAAAAAAAACCAAAAAAGTTTCTTTGATTTCAAACTTTTGAGATAGCAGATTTTTATCTCGAATTATGTGACACGTTCGAATGACTATACTTAATTGATCTATCTTTGTGATATCTTGAGTTGTATCAAGAAGCAAAGAAAAAATGTTGCGGAATTTATTTGTTTTGTTAATTCAAAAGTAAGTTTTTTGAAAGGCAATCTATCAATTCATTTTGAATAGTTGGGCTAAGATATCGCACAGATCCAGAAGGCATTTCCCCACTGTTTAATAACATCGTCATAGTCTGACAAAAATTTCACTTGAGCCATAAAATTCCCACTAAAATCATCTTGACGTTCACGGTGCCACCGAAATGACAAGGAACATTTTGCCAGAAGTAATGTAATTTTAAATAATCTTTGCAACATCATTTTCCAGAAGGATGCTTGAAATCTGATCTCTTCTTCTAGGTTCTTGTCAATGGCACGATTTTTTCTCCAAAGGTCGTGAACAGCGCAAGCTTCATATGAGCTTTGCTTTTACTGTGCTCTTCACTGCGTGATGATAAATGTTTCCAATCTCTTAAGCCCGTACTCCAGTGACTGCACAATTTTGAGAAAAGCCAACAAGATTCACAATAGGCTGCATCTAGTACAGTTGAATAGCACAGCCAAAGACGATTGACAGGGCCGTATTTTGTAGTAGAAAAATAATAACTCTAAAACTGCGATCATTTTGGTTCGAATCCTTGGGAAATGGACCTTTAGGTCTATTCGGTTCAAGACTAATAATAATCTTTTTATCTTCATCAGTAAGAGTTTTTCCCATGTAAAATCCAAGATCGCTATTAGAGGAACCTGGTGTAGTAAACATGGCACTGCTAATAACTTTATCAAAAGTAAAAGTCTTAGTACAAGGCAAAAGTTCTTTAGAGGTAGAACAAGAAATAAAAGTTGATTCACGTGTCTCAGAAATATTGATAGTTACTTGTTATTTTTCAGAAGATTGAGAGGCTTTAAAATTTTTTTCTATTTTAGCATGCTTTTTTAATTTTTCCTCTTTTTCTAATTTCAATTTTCGTTTCTGTGCTCCAGACTGATATTTCCGCTTATCTTCCATTTTTATTTTTTTAGCGTTTTGTTCCGCAATCTGCTAATCCTGCAAAGAGAAGAATACACAACATTTTTAAATGCATTAAATAGTTCGATAGTTGTGTATCAATTAGACTGTTTCAAAAAAATCGTCTATTTTTTTCTCTCAAGTACGTCGAAAATATTGTTAGAAATGACGAAAAAAAATCCTGTAAAACTAACAGCTCTTAATATTAATATTAAGTGGTGCCGCATCGCAAATTTCAATTTCCCTCGAAAAACTTTTGAACGAGTAGGTTTAAAGGAAGAGACCTTTTTTGTAAAGCAAGAGTAAACAATGAACTCATCCGTATGATAATTTAGTATTGAGAAAAAAATTCAAAAGTTGAAAACAATTTTTTCCCATGTTAATCGAATGGGAAATTGAAATTTGCGATGCGGCACCTCAAAATATTAATATTTAAGAGCTGTAACTTTTACAGGATTTTTTTTCGTCATTTCTAACAATTTGTTCGATATACTATATACTTAAGAGAAAAAAAAATAGTCGATATTTTTGAAACAGTCAATAGGTCATTTTTAGTCTTTAAGAAACTTTTCGAATTTAGTGTCGGGTTTAAGGTGCCCGCAGAGTTTCCGTAACATAAGACTTAAGCCTTAAGCTGTAACGTAATTTCTCATGCCTTAAGGCTTAAGTCTTGACTATACTTTATAAATCACCTTATCAGAATTCTGTATAATTCCTTGCGGTTAAGTCTTAATCTGTCTTAAATGAAACTTAAGTCTTACGTTACGGAAATTCTGCAGGCGCCTTTACTCAGCAAGGTAATGGACAAATGTACATTTACAAACAAAATTACGCACAAATCAAAATCGAGCGATTTATTCATTAAGTAATATAACTTACACTTACCTTTTTTTCTAAAAGGTACCTTATTATAACGAGACACAATAGTCACAATACAAATATAGTAATGTTATTTTACACCACGCCGGGCACCACGGCACGACTACGACACATCAATATCACATAGGGTACGCTGGGTAGTTAGAATCATCAAAACAATAGATCGGGGAATCCCCAAAGACGAGGCGTAATATTAAGGCGGTGGTGCCAAGCCCGTCGCGGTCCGACGGATTATAGCTACATACATTTAGGAACGCAAACGTTTTCCTCAGATATGTAGCGTTTTAAAAAATAAACATTATTTATCATTATATTTATTATTTATTTTTCTTTTTAGTATACCTAGGTTATATTAGCACTCAATGAATTTTTTGCTGATCGGCGCTTAAAAACCCCCCTATAAGCCGGGGCCCCGGGACACTGCCCCGGTTTGCCCTAGGATAGCTACGCCCCTGTTAGACCACCTTTTAGACTTTCAATTCCTATATTAATAAAATCCCGGAGTTTAGAAACAGCTTCTATAGATCGAAAGTGATCAAATGATAACAAACCTGATCATCATCTTCTGGATTAGATTTCCTATCGTCCTCGTCGGAAGACTTGTCTTCCTCCACATCGCTGCCAGCCACACTGTCCTCTTCCGAGTCGCTATCTTCATCTTCTTTCTCTTCCCTTTTGGAAGACTTTTCTTTCTTTTTGTCACCGGCCGGATTCGGTGATTCGTCCACCTTTGGTTTATGGGACGCGACGGAATTCGCCGTTGCTGATTTTCCCCCTGAGGGCTTACCTTTGCTCTTGGTCTTTTTACCGCCTGTTAATAAATAAGACCAAAAAATACAAACAATTCGACAACTGTAACGAAAAAAAAAGGTAAATCTAAAGAAACCTTTTATGTCAAAATACATCAAGTCAATTAAGATATGAACCGTAGAATAGACAGATAGATAGATATGCTTTATTGTCTGAAGAATATAATCATTCTTGATGACAAAGCTAAATGAAAACTAGACTATAACATGATTACATATGTGAATCTTAAGTAGAATTGTAGAATTCACACAGGTATAATATGGTCTACATATTAAAAAGTGTTTAAGTTCACGGCGAAATATAGGGTTGTCCAATGGGGACGCACGAAAGTAAACGTCAATTTGACATAGACGCCATCTTTGTTTTCTGTCACCGACATGTCATTTTGTTAGTTGAATGTTTACCATTGATCGCTATGGAGTCGTATTCGATTGAAGACCGCATTAAAGTTATTCAAGAGCACTACAAAAATGGTGTAAAAATAAAAAACACGTTTCGCGCGCTTCGTGAACATTTCGGTCGCAACAACCGCCCAAACGAAACAACCATCGGTCGTCTGGTGCGTAAATTCGAGGCAACAGGTTCTGTGGCAAATCTGCCAGGCTCTGGCCGGCCAAGGAGCGTTCGCACACCGGAAAATATTGCTGTTGTGAAGGAGAGTGTGAGAGACGATCCGAAACAATCAACAACGCGTCGATCCCAAGAATTGGGCATTTCGAGAACCAGTTTGCTCCGCATGCTCCACAAGGATTTGAATGTACACGCCTACAAAATCCAATTGACGCAAGAGCTGCGTCGGGCCCACCATTTTTCGCGCCGAACGTTCTCAGATTGGCTCCTTGAACACCGCCAAATTGGTGCCAATTTTTCATCAAAAATCATGTTCAGCGACGAAGCGCATTTCACTTTGAATGGGACGGTAAACAAGCGAAACTGCCGCATCTGGGCGAACGAAAATCCCCGTGAGTATCAAGAGCAGCCGATGCATCCTCAAAAAGCGACTGTGTGGTGTGCATTGTGGTCAAAAGGCATCATCGGACCTTACTTTTTCGAAAATGCGGCCGGGGACGCCGTTACCGTCAATTCTGAGCGATATCACGTGATGATAGAGGACTATTTTTTGCCGCAACTTGAAGGAACGGATATGGAAGATGTTTATTTCCAACAAGACGGTGCAACATGCCACACAACCAACGTCAATATCCATCGATTGCAGTCCTTCTTCGGTGATCGCGTGATTTCGCGCAGAGGAAATGTGCCATGGCCACCAAGATCGTGCGATTTGACTCCCTTGGACTTCTTTTTATGGGGATATTTGAAAAGCAAAGTCTACGTCAACAAACCAGCCACCCTCCAAGAACTCAAAAACAACATCATTGCCGCGATAAATGCCATAGAACCGACCATGTTGCAAAATGTCATTGAAAATTTCGACCATCGCGTGGACGTCTGTAAATCCAGTCATGGTGAACATTTGAGCGATATTATTTTTCATACATAAATGGTATAAATGAACCTTCAAAATAAAGTACCCAACTTGATTTGAATATCAATCTTTCTTGTTTTAATATGCGTTTACTTTCCTGCGTCCGTTTGGACAACCCCATATATTTAAATGGTTAATCCCTTTGATAGCATCAGGGAGGCACATGTAAACTGTTAGACCATTATAAATTTTTGAGTCTTGCACAAGAGTTGTTTTAGGTACTAATAATTTCAAATATTTTAACTTATATGTAATGTTTCATATTTAGATATATTTTTAAAATAGTTTCCCCTGGTTTTAGTCTCCATGCTTAAATGTCTCACTTACTTTTCTTCTGTTGCTTCAACCACGCAGGCCTTTTATTGGCCGCGGCTTCGTTCGCAGGTTCCCCAGCTCCGGATTCTTTGGTGTCTTCAGTGCCGTTTTCGTTAATACGAGTTGCTATTTTGGCGGTTTCATCACCAAACAAGGTGCTCATGTCTTTCCTTGTCAGTGTAACCGTTACCGTCACTATCGCTTTGGCTGTAACTTCTTTGGGGTTTTCGTCATCCATTACTGAAAACATGATACTATTAGAAGATATTCTTCCTCGAAAGTAGTAAATATAAAACTGGTAACCGTAAGCCCCTCATGCCCCCTCAAGAAAAAACCTCCCACTGTCGATCTTTAAACAAAACGTAGCCAGTATGTATAGAAAAAATTAATCTAAGTCTACAAGGATAATCAGGGGTAAATGCTAAAACAGTATATTGAATTTTTTTTAGATGATACGATAAAGGAAACTCAACATGGTTATATTGAAGGTAATCAACTGTTACAGCTGCTTATAAGTCTTGTCCTTACTAAAGCATATGACTGTCTAGATCAAAATATATTATCGCAAACATTAGAAAGACATGACACTAGAGGTCCAGCACTTTTTTGGATAGAATCATACCTCATAGTCAAATCAGATTAGACGAAAAAACCCCTGGTTTGGGAAATCATGTAAAGTCTGCTTTTATTGCGGCAACTTGTTCAAAGGGATATTTAAGAGATGGAAGCATAAAATGGGTTCACCAATTTTTGCGGGAAAACTTTTTATTCAACAACAAAGAATGAGAAAACGTGTTTTTGGGATTCAATCGAAAGTGTTGGCAGGAACGAAAAAACTCATATAAAATTTTTAGATATTTATAAGACCTACAAAATGAGACCACACGTAAAAAGATCCGACTAATAGCAAAAAGTTATGGCCGAAAACCGAGGCAAACTGCAGGTTTTGCCATTTGTCGGTAATGCAACGATGGTTTCTCGCAGATATTTGAAATTCTTCAAATTCGTAGGATTCGTACTTCTAAATAACGACAACAAAATTGGAGTAGATTGGTCGAGTAGTTTTTGAGAATTTCTAATTGTTTATCCTAAAACTCCTGTATTCCTGCCATCACTACTAGTTTACTGAGCAATATACAGGATTCGTTCAAAAGGCATTTTATAGTAAAAAAACACGAGTTTACCTTGCAGACATAAATCACAAATCATTCCGGAAGATAATTGTTGTTTTTATGCGAAAAACGAAGGGTTACGTTTTTTCTTCTAAACAAATTCAAACATTTTGTATTTGTTGGTAAATGAACAGACTCGCTACGATGTTCGAAAAACATACGTTATTATACACATTTTAAAACAAAGCGGATGTGCCCATCACCAATAGTGCTGAAATTTTTACACGGTCACAGATGAGCCCTAACGTAGTAGTAGTAGTAGTAGTAGAAAGATTTATTTAGCACATTTGGCTACATAAACAGAACAATTGTAAACAACTTATAACTAGTAAATTCAAGCCATATGGTGTTTGATGTAAATGCTGGGCAACCTATAATTGTAGATTTAACAAGTGATTTCTCAATTTTACTTTAAATTTTGTCAAAGTTTTCTGGTCTTTTATCTCCGAGTATAATTTATTATATTCAATCAACCCTTGATGGAATACAGATTTGTAGCATATGTTATACTTTTTGGTCATTAAATGGAAGTCATCTTTATTTCTGGTATTATGTAAATGATGGTCGACATTTGATGATGTTAAATTAGTTAGACTTGATGGAAATATATTATTTTTTACTTTATAAATGAATATCATTACAAGATATTTGATAAAATTTTTTACATTGAGCCATTTTAATTTGCTAAGCATTTGCCTAATTGGAGTATATTTATCTTTATTTAGTATTATTCTTATGTACTTATTTTGTAAAATTTGCAGTCTTTCAAAAATTGAATTATTTGCTAAATATAGAATAGTCGAACAGTACAAGAAATTTGGAAGAATGATGGTATTATAGATAATTTTTCTGCTATATGAACTCAGACATCCAGAAACTCTCGATAAATATCCCACTTTACTACTAATCTTATTTATAACTTTTTCATAATGAATATCAAAAATTAATCGAGAGACAACAAAAACTCCCAGGTATTTAAAATTTTCTACGAATTCAATATCTTCACCATCAATATTCAGTTGAACATCTGTACATTGTTTTTTTCCGATTAACAAGGCTTTCGTTTTACTTGCATTTAATTTTAGTCTGTTAGATGCTAACCATTTTGAGACAAGCTTCAAGTCTTCATTTATATAAGAGATACCAGACCGAATATTTTTAGTACTTATATAAATCATAGTGTCATCGGCGAAAATCTGAATTATGCATTTTTTTACTAAGGCAGGTAAATCATTATGTATAAAATAAAAAGAAGTGGTCCCAGGATACTACCCTGTGGAACACCCAACGTATTTTCAATTTTTGATGAAATAGTGTTATTAACTTTTGTAACTTGCATCCTTTTAGACAAATAATTTCTAAAGCAATCTAAAACACTTCCTGTTATACCATATGCCTTCAATTTACCTAACAAAATATCTCTATCAATCGTTTCAAATGCCCTCTTCAAATCCAAAAATACTGCTATGACAACTTCTTCTGAGTCTATGGCTCTTCTCCAATTCTCAGTTACCAACTGGAAAGCTGTTTCTGTGGAATATTTTTTCGAAACCCTGCTTGCGCCTCCACTAAAATTTTGTTTTCTTCTATAAACTGCATTAATTGGTCATGCACTATGGACTCTAATAATTTTTCAATGTCTGGTAACACATTTACTGGTCTCATATCGCTGTATCTTTTAGAATTTTTATTTTGGGAACTGGTGTTATTGTAGAGCATTTCAAATTTTCAGGAAAAGAACTGCTTCTCAGTGAACAATTGATCCAATTTAATACAGGATATCCCAAAATTTCGAAACAGTTTTTCAGCACGATTTTAGTAGTGATTTCGGCACAGTTGTTATTTGATTTTAAACTGTTTACTTTTTTTCTTTGGTAATTCAATGATACGCTGTGAAATTTTGAAAGTGTATGCAACATTTCCCCCTGGAAACTGATTTCATATAGTCAGGTGCAGCATTGGCAGTACCCACAATATCAACAATACTCTCCACAAAATATTCATTTAGTTTGTTTGCAATCACCAAAGAATTTGTTTCGGTACCGTTTTCGAATTGAACTTGATTTACACAATCATGCGGCTTCGAATTGATCAGTCTTTTTAAAGTCTTCCACATCTTTACACTGTCGCACTTGTTATTATCGATTTGTTTATCGTAGAATTTCCTTTTTTCTTCTCTAATTACATATACACATTTATTCCTAAGAGTTTTATATACCTCCCAATCATCATTTGATTTTGTGAATATACATTTATTGTATTGTTTGTCTCTCAAATTTTGAGCTTCCTTAATATTCTTGTTATACCGGGGTGTATTTTTGTCGAGCAAATCACTTCAGATCAGTTGCAAGATCTAAACAAGTTTTTATATTTCCTATTATGTTGTCATATATTTTTTCCATATTCTCACCAAAATTCCAATAGCAGCCAGCAAGTTCTCGTTCAAGTTTTCGTACTTAATAGTATTTACGATTTTCTTAATTTTTGTATCAGAAAAATGCCCTACCAAGGGCAGCATTGTCCAACTGTGATCGCTAACTTTAGGTGTATGTACAGCTTTAATTTTTTGCTTGAACCCATAGTTGTTTATGGTTTCTTTCAATTTTCTTGTTTTCATGCTTTTTTTAAAAAACGATAAAAATGTATCCGCATCACTATTTGGTGAACGGTAAAAAGTAGGCCACATAATCCAGTTTCTTTACGAACAAATATAATTCCCTGGACCTTTTTTCTAGAAGTATTAGTATAGGTCTGATTTCGAAATCTCGTACTATTAAAACGGCTGCAAGTTGAAACTATTAGAAAATAAACTCGAGAAAACGAAAAAACAGTAGACAAATATCAACCAAATTGTAGCGAGCTGACCGTCTTCAAAATTAGGCAAAATGCTCAGTATTAGTCCCTAATACCATATTTAAGCTTATGCTTATACTTAAGTACATCAAAATTACGGTTCTTATTACCTTCCACCTGTGTCTGCATGTCAACAACAGGCATCCTAGCTAGTACCTTCATAATATTTTCATACTCGTCGTCTCCTAGATCCCTTAACATATTCCTTCTCTCGTCAGCCTTGAGTTGCGCGAACTGTTCCAAGCTTTTGATTTGTCTCTTTTTCGAATTGAAGTACTTCAAGTTATCATCACCTATATAGGGTAGCTGGAGTAAAGGCGATTTGAACTCCCACAACGCCTGCACTATCATTGGACAGAGCTTCATACAATTTTCGATCGTTTGGAGTCTTGGTAGTTTCATAACTGGAATTTGGTAAATACTGTAGTGAGGAACAATGAATGAAGCATGAAGAAAATAGAGCTTGCTGAAAGCAGCTCAAGGACAATTCGGCTTCAACACAATTGAGAATTTCGTTGTGGTGATTTTGTTCTCACCAAAGCAACTACCGAGCAACTAACTATCTTGCTTTGAAGTCGTGGATAAATACTATATACTGGGTGCGCCATCTATTACTTTTTTTTTACCTATAAGTTTATGTGTTACCATGTGAGTCAAAAGTCATGTGGCACGCATAAATGAACTGTCAAAGCTATGCCATTTATAGTCATGGATTCGTTTACAACACAACAACGCATTTTGGTTATCCAAACTTATTACGAAAACGGTCGAAATATAAAAAATACTTTTCGCAAACTTCGCACTAATTTTGGTCGACATGGACCCCCTACAGAGCCTGGAATTCGTTGGATTGCTAATCGTTTTGAGGAAACTGGTTCAGCTGAAGGTCGTAGACCATACCGACATGCTCGTCCAGTTCGTACTCGTGAAAACAACAACAACAACCACCTCGACTAGGCACCGTTCGCAACAATTGGGAATTAGTGAGACCACTTTACGCCGGATTTTACACATGATTTACCCTCCATCCATACAAATCTAACTAACACAGAATTAAAGCCGGCAGACCATCAATAGCGGCGTGTTTTTGTTAAACAGATGTTGGAAAGAGAAGACGGATTTTCGGCCAAAGTGCTCTTTTCTGATGAGGCTCATTTTCACCTCAATGGGTACGAAATAAGCAAAATTTCAGATTCTGGGGGGTGGAAAAACCACACCAATATCATGAACAACCTCTCCATCCTGAAAAGTGACTGTTTGGTGCGGATTATGGGCTGGTGGCATCATTGGACCATTCTTCTTTGAAGATGCCGAAGAAAAAGCCATTACCGTCAACAGGGAACATTATCGCGGCATATTAACAGACTTTTTGTGACCACAATTGGATCGTATTGGTGCCGACGATGTTTGGTTTCATCAAGACGGAGCAACACTCGCCTTATTGCACACGAAATTTCAAGATCGCATAATTTCACGAAATTTAGATGTCAGTTGGCCACCGAGATCGTGCGATTTAACACATCTTGACTATTTTCTTTGGGGATTTTAGAAAGGAAAAGTGTATGCGAATGGTCCCGGACAATTCAAGACCTAAAGCGCAATATTTGGACTGAAATTGCGGACATAGACCCGATTATTCCGGGAAAAGTCATTGAAAATTTTGATGTTGGCCTGTAAACGAAGTCGCGGTGGTCACATGACTGATGTTATTTTTCATACATAAATGGCATAAACCAACCTTCATTTATCAATAAAAAATTCGATTTCACCTCGTAAAAAGCGTGTTGATTTTTCAAATAGAAAAAAGTAATAGATGACGCACCCTGTACTATACGAGGTTTGTCCTGAAAACACGTATAAAAGTGGAATAATAACTTTATTTTACAATTGTTCAGGTATTTCAATACGGTCTCTTTCAAACTACTCCCCCTGAGACAAGATGCACTTTTGCCAACGCCGTTTCCACTGTTGATACTATCGCTGAAAGTCTTCAATTGTTTTCACACGCGAGAGGGAACCACCGGGACATCCCTCTACGACGCCCCGAATTTTTTATACGTATTTTTCTGAAAAACCTCGTAAAGTTAGATTATCCGATTCAGAATATTTTTCCCATCAGATGGGACGATATTGCCCGGACTATTGATGAAATGATATGAAATTTCAGCAACAATCGATGCAAATTTTCTAAAATGAATCCAACTTACTTCTTCTTGCATATGCCAGCATGATCAACTGATTGACACAGCTGACTTGCTCATATATCAAATACGGACATTTCCTGATTATATACTGCCTATCTAACTCCAGCGTTTTTTGGTTCAACGGTATTCTACTAAGGTGTGT